ACTTGTAAAGGCTGGGAGCAAACGGCTTTCACGATTATTCCGTGCTTTATCTTTATGGAGCACGTGCGCTTCAGGGACATATTTGTCTGCTTACTTCAGAAGAGATCTTCGTCGTAAAACGAGTCACTTTGTTTGTCGTACGAGGCGCGCTGCGAGGGAGGTGACCGCGTTGGTTTTCCTGCACTTTCGAGAGAGTCAGTCATCAGGAGTTTGGAGTCGCGCGGCACGTGCGCTTGCGAGTCACCAGGCGCCACGCGGCCGCCCGCCAAGCTGGACGCCCGCCAGCTAGCCCTGGGGTGCATGCTGGAGTGACGCCGGCTGGAGCGGCGGTGGTGCAGTTCGTGCAGCGCGCGGGGGTCCGGCCTGAACTCGGCCGACGTGCGGCACAGCGCCATAAACGGCGTGGAGAGGCAGACGCGAACGGTGACGACCAGTGCGACGAGCAGCGGCGCGGCGGCGGCGATGTAGCCAAACGCGGCCGTCCACTGGGCGCCGGCCGACACCGGCGGCGACCGGTACGTCTCCAGCAGGCGCATCAGCTCGAACACCATCATCACCGGGCTTATGAACAGCCAGCTGACGAGCAGAAACTGTCGCCAGCTGGCGATGTCCTGACCCAGCTTGGTTCGCACCTCGTCCAGAAAGGCGCTGGCGGAGAGCTTGAGGCCAATGATCACCGTGAACAGCAGGGTGGCCAACGTCCACTGAATGCGCATCAGAGGATCAATCGACCACTTCACCCCGTTCAACATGCTGTATATTCGCGTGCCGGCGAAGGCTAAGCCGGGCGCAAATGCGACAATCACGGTGGCCGCGAACGGCACGCGTCTGAAGAGGGGCACCGCGTCGATTAAGTTCAGTCCGCAGCATATGACAGTCATGGTCACCCGGCCCAGGCTCTGCGCCACCATCGCTCCGAAGTAGAGGACGCCCCAGAACTGCGGCCGCGGCATCGAGTCCACGATGGCGGTGAACGAAACGAAGGCCAGGCCCTGCGAGTCGTCGTCCAGCTCCTCCAGCTGCTGGCGCATCATCTCCGACTGCTGCTCCAGGTTCCCGCGCACCATGAACATCAGCAGGCTGTTGAGCATGCCGAAGCCGAGGTCGATGAACACGATGCAGGCGGATGTGAAGAACGCGCGTTGGCGAAGCCGATCGCGCGAGCCCAGCGTCGGGATCATCCCCATGCCGATATTGACGCTCCAGTACGTCATGCCGATGCTGTCCACCCAGAGGTCTCTGTGCAGCAGTTTGGCAAAGTCGACGCGACCGTAGAAAAACATGGCGATACCAGACCAGGCGCCGGGGAAGAGCAGCACGCGCGTCATGACGAGGAGCAACACCAGGGGGCTGCACAACACTACCACCACGGCCAGCCACGAGGCCACCCACAGGTTGATGCAGGGCAGGAAGACCAGCAGCCAGCACACGCAGTACGATATCGCCGAGGACCGCCGGTGATTTTCAACCGCTTCAGGCGGAGTTCCGTCCGCGTGCTCACCGCGAATGTAGTGTAGAAAGAAATCCCTTTGAGCTATCTCGCGGCGACCGACCAAGAGCACTTTTTCGACGTCGAGCGCGTCGGCACGCTGTTCAGCGTGTTCCTGGTCGTCTAGTATCCATCGAGCGGTGTGGTTGGACTTCAGCAGATTGATGCAGTGTGTATCATTCGAGTGACGGTAGCCATTCAGGCTGCAGTACTCGGCGTATGTCATGCACGTGAAGTTGTGATAAAGAGAGTTGTTGGATTTCTTGACGCAATTGTCCTGTAGACTGTTCGAGAAGCAGTATCTGGAGTTGTATGCGGGGCTACACGCGTCCCATGGCACAGGATACTGAGCAGCATGATACGTGTACACAAGAATCCACGCTGCCTGGCCCATGTGGTAAACGTTTATGAACATGGTGATAATAAGTATTGCGTACCCAAGACCGCGAAAGATCGGTCCAAGTTGGGGAAGGAACACCGCAAAGGCCTTCGAAGTGTACTGTCCGCAAATGGACTCGAGAAAATACATTGGAAAAGACGTCAGAGAAATCAGAAGTGTCATTACCATGAAGTATAGGATTCCTCCGTAATGCCACGCGAGCCGCGGGGCCAGAGTGAATTCGGCGGTCCCAATATGAGCGAGCAGCTTCACGCATACCGAATGAAGCGCGGATGGCCAAACCCCCTCCGCATGTCTGTGTTTCGGCTGCGGATGACTTTGAAAAGGCTTCAAGAAACCGAATCCAAGCTTATGAATGCACATATTGTCAACTTCTTCCATGTGGCTTGGCGTTCCTCTAAGATAAGCGGCCTCGTAAATGGAAGGTCGCGAGCTTGTATTTGACAGCTGGGATCCGTACTTTTGGTTCTCCTCGTGCGTTCTAAAGCCTGCGCCAAGCGACGAAACAGAGGGAACCGCCAACGAACTTGATGAGCTGACATGGGACGCATGCTTGGAACTTTCATTTTCCTCATGGTTAGTTCTAACGGCTGCGCTAAGTTGTTGAGTTGAGGGGAGTGCAAGTAAACTTGCGGATGGCTCACCCGTCACTGTCTTTTCCTCATGTGTCTGTCCACCGGCTTCATATCCATTCATGACAATTCCAGGATCCACTTCATGCTTTTCTTTATCTTTTGGGGACGAACGCCTGGACATTTTGGAGTTCATTCATATCTGGCAAATATTTGCATCTGGTTGGAAAGCCATGAACGACACGTTAATAACGGCTAATTCCTCAGCAACATCACTGACCTACACATCTCCACATATTAACGCTTAAAATGGATTGAACATGCTAACAGCTTGGTTTGAAATATGATATCAAGATGTGAAAAGCAGGCAGCTTGAAGCCCGAAGTCAAAAGTGCGTGACACCCTCTCCCTAAAATGCAAGTAAATCCCAATTGCTTCGGCATCTTTGGAAAAAGCCTATGATGTTCTTAGAGAAGGCTGCATGCCAGATTATCACGTGCTTTGACACTGATCGTTCTTCTCATTTCAGCTGATGTCATTTGCATTGATGAAACAAAAGCTAAGCAACCAATCGGCCCGTGTACAGCATAGCAGAATGATCTTCATGATAATCATATCCACGAAGGCTTTCCGCGTGAAATATTTGAACTTCAAAATGTTCCATGCCGTTGGTTTGAGAAACTACTTCCGAATGCGCGGAGATTTGGGGGCCCCAAGGTCGTCATTCTCAGTACCGAATATGAAAAATATGACAAATAATATAACGAATGGGGTTTTAGGGCGCATCGATTGCACACCATGGTTATTCTGCGCCTAGTCCGTCATTGTTTCGTTGGTTACACTGCACCATACATTCGGTCGTGTATGCGTCTAAAACGTAAATGCAAAACGCTTAGACGAAAGGCTTTAATTGTCCTCATGTCGATGACATCTGTTGGGTACAGTTCAGCGCCAACTGTTTTCAACCGACTCTCTCACACTTCAGGACGATCAGACATGATGACCAAAAGTTGCATGCAACTGTTTTCAGCATAAGCATACGATGCTCAAATGTCCAATTAGATGGAACAAATGGATTGTAGTATGAAATAACAGACTAAGGAAATTTAATACGTGTACAGCTATATGAAAGTTTTCCAAGAGATTTTAACGTGTCCCTTGCCTTCCCCCCCCCTCTCTCAAGTATAATTTTGCTCGCATGAATTGCCTACTTGAATGCCGCTATGATCAGTGTCTGCGCTTCGTACCAGCCCGTTACGCGTGCCTGTGCTAGCATGAAATTGCGAGTGTGGGTTCCGTGGGCTCTGATGTTTCCGTTACCTGTTGTTGGCTCTCTGATGTCTGTAGATCTTCTGCCTTCAAAGCAACATTCTTCACCCACCATTATCCATTTCATCTCGTTTCTGGAAGCGGGACAAACGCACAAACCGGCATTCCCATGCTAGGGGAGGAACACATCCCCCACGTGCCTCCCACATAATTCCTTCCCTCTGGCTCGGATTTAATGTATTTTGGTTCGCTGCACCTCAGCACCATCATAGTCTCGTGTTTAACTTGCCCAAATACAACTGTGAATCGCTCGGTTCGACGTGCGCAAAAATCGGCAGCGCTGTGGATGGGCCCATTAAAAATTGCGGTCATAGTACAGTAATGGTGGCACCAAATGATTGCTTCGCTGCGACATTAGTGCAAAGCAAAGGTCTGCGCATATAATACAAATTATGCGTTTTGTTGCCATGCTTAGCCATACCACATTTATTTCTCATTGCGCATGCGCCGCTCACCTCAGTGAGGTGAGCACTGGGCGGATGGCCTTTAACAATACGGAACGGCCCTCAAAAGAAACTATGACCCAAAATCTAAAATGTTCCATCAATGCCATCAGGACCACATCAGAGGAAAGCCAAGCTTATGGTGTAGGTATGCATCTGTACTGCCGTTTGGTCATCACATACGTTGGAATCTTTTGGACTGTTCGTTAAACCGGAGTCGTTCCACTGACGCAGTGGGTTCGCGTCTTTGCAACCGTATATGCGTCATTTCATATTCCAAACCCGTAACTTTAAGACATCCCGTCACACCAGGACAGGCAGTTCGCATTCTTGGAGAACTTCGAGATGCAAAGTGACGCATCCGTCTCTGAACATACTACAAGCCGATACATCGCTGGTGCCATCACCCTACAGTATCGAAAAACACGGCACAAGACGACGCTAGTCTCAACGACCCGTGCCATTGTTGGTGCGAGCAATGCATTATTGGCGTATTATATAAGTTGAGAGTTGTTTCTGAATGCCCTGCAGAAGATTGTCATGGCTCCTGTTGAATTCACGGCATTGCAAAAACAGCGACGTATCGCGGCTTTCTTTCGTCTCGTCGTTTGGTTTTAACATCACAGTTTTCGAGAGAACATACGTGCTTCCGAAGCTTGTCGAATTTTGTTCATTCTGCATCTGATCAGACATCAAGTTAGCTCATTGTTGTTCGGCAGTTTCTTCCGAATAAAACCAAACGTCGGTAATAGTGGCATGGCGCTCATTCCGACTCTTATTGGCACGCCCGGCAATATCTCATGCTTCAACAGTCACATCAAAGTCAACGGTTCCAAATCAAAAGCGACTGTGAATCTGTGTCAAATACACCCGCACATGCCACTCGTTATAGCACTCCAAAACCACAAAATCTCGCTTATCTTTTCTCACACAGATCCGCTTCTCCTGCTTCATTATGTAACAGACAGCTGAATGTTAAAGACGCTCCTGGTAGTTGTGTCGCCCTCTCGCCCGAGTCACTGACTGGGTCGGCTGCGATCGGACAGCGTTTGTATTCAAACACTACCTGCACGGCCAGAACAGCTCAGCCCCGTCAGCACGCACCCAGCGGCCCTGCCCCACGCGTTTATGAGCTCGCGCTCATTTCGCAAGCGCTGGGCCAATCCACCCCACAGCAGACAGTCACCGTCCGCACGCAGTCACTGGCGCAGCGCGCGGTCATCTGAGCGCCACCCACAGCGCGGTGCCCCACCGAACAAAGCGCGTGCAATCATGCTCGGCAGAGCGCAGGTCACGGCGCATGGTCGGACGACCGCGTGCCGCGCCGCGACCACGGCGGACGGCCGGCCGCCACGGGGCCCGGCCTCAAAAGCGCGCTGTCATCGGCTCGGACGTCTTGCGCATACCACTGAAGGGCGCGGCGCCATCACTGACGAACACCACAGTGACGTCCCCGCGGCTGCTGAGCGCAGCATTCCGACCGCCCGTCGCCTTTCCGTTGCATTTGATACACGCCAGATGCCGCGGCGCCGTGCTGGGTACGGCACGATCACTAGACACATCGCAGACAAGAGACTGGCGGCTGTAACCCTTCTGCGTGGGTGATCCTTCCACGACTGTCTTGTCCGGTGGCCGTTATCGAAGCCTAGAGCACTGCAATCATCATGGGAGGCAGCCCTGGCGTGACGTCATGACTTTTGCGTGACGTCACTCTCACCCGTCCTCGTCCAGGTCGCCCACATTTGACTTCGTCACTGGTGAGCAAACTTCGAAAAGCGGCTCGAAAACGGGCCACCCGCTGCCGCCGGTAATACAGGACCGCTACGCGGGTGTGACGTCACCGCGGGTCGGGTGTGACGTCACCAGCGTCGGGTTCGGAGACGGTGGCGACATCTGTGACCGGCGAGCGCAGCGTGAAGAGGACGGGCAGCTCGGCGAGCCGCGGGGTGCGCCGCTGCAGCAGCCGAATCCACGAGAGAAGCGAGTCGCGGCTCGAGGTGCCTGCGGGGTGGCCACGGACGGCAGGGCGTTACACTACAGGATGCACAGGGGCACCCCGTGCAAAGCAACCACCTTTGGCGTGTGGTTCAGGCGCTGAACAGTCCCATGGTCAAGGGTCGTCATACAGGACTTCTGAACCGGTCTGGGTTCGAAACTTGGAGAGTGATGTGCTTGTCTCCTCCCCCGCCCATCACCCGCCCAAACACGGAGGTCCTCAGTTGGGCGACCGTCCCCAGCGCGTGAACCGGACACAGGGCGACCGTCCCCAGCGCATGAGCCGGACACAGGGTGTCCCGCAGCATCTCAGCGCCCGGCACCTGCACAAGCCACCCTGGCAAAAAAGGCTGCAGGCAAACCAAGCCGCCGAGCGGGAACGGCACTCAAGGTTTAAGGTATCAACGGCAAAGGCCGTTTGACGTGGACGGAGTGCGGCCCACCCAAGGAATTCAAAATAAATTAAAAAACGGTTGACACTCGTCTGCCATGTGTATCGCATGTGTTAGATACGCCTACGATATACGTGTATCAGACGTACAAAGTGTAATGAGTTGGATGTCAGGCTACTTGAAATGCTGCGTACATTTTCATTCAGCCGGTACCTATTGTTTCCGGTGCTTTTAAACGCTACCTTTCATGCAGTTTTGTCTCTGGTGGCTTGAACCTTGGTCACATGTATACGGAGAGCGTCCTTTTGGCATTATGAGTTAAAACTTCTCGTGCTGAGCTAGCGACCTTCAAAATACCAACGACCTTGCTCCTAACTTATTATGCAGCATGTTCTCAATCGATCACGATCTTTATCCCGTCCAATCTACTGCTTGCAGCTTTTAAATTAATGTTTTGCAAACCAATATCTTGTCGCGAGCCATGTTTTACGACCTTTCTCTTACGACCTTTTCCATACCATCCCTCGCCACATGACCTCTCACCCCACAATCGTGGCCGACCGGCACTGGACTCCACTCACGACGGCCTCCGGGCCGACCGTGCCCTCTCACCCGTGACGCAGACGGCCATGATGGTGCCGTCCTCCTGCTTGTGCACGCTGGGCGGCCTCTCGTCCCAGGCCGACTCCCGGTCGGTCCGGCTGCTGCGGCGCCACGTCCAGTTCTCCAGGTAGGTGATGTCTGGGGCGGGGTAGGGCCGTGCGGGTCACGGCGAGAACAGCGGACGCCGCCGGGCGCGGAGGCTCCCGACGGAGTGTGCCCCCGCCCGGCCCCAGGCGACGTACGGGGTCCAAAGGACGGGACGGAGGTACGACCGCGACGGGGCAGGGATTGTAATGGTATTTCAGAGGGAGGTGGTCCGAAGGTAGATAACTACAACATGCTATCAATACGGACAGACATACAACGCTGTTCACAGCCGCCAGGTCTGGTGAGAAGCAGCGCCAACAGCGCTCCATTTACAATTCAAATGCTGGAAGATTCCCACTACGCTATTCATTCCCTGTACCGTCCGAGTCCCATCCCCCATCGACCTCACTGACCCAGACCTGTCCCATGACCGTACCGTCCGAGTCCAGCCCCTCGTGTTTCTGCTGCTCCTGGGGCTCGGCGCGCAGCACGAAGTAGCTGATGGACTGGTCCTGCAGCCAAACACGGAAGCCGCCCTCCACGTACAGCGGCTGGTCGGTCGGATGCTCCTCCAGCAGCGCGCGCTGCTGCTGGCTCTGCCCAGACACCACCCAGGTGCGGTCCACGGCGTCCTCCGGCAGTTCGTCCTCCTGCCGTCAGGGGACAAGGTCAAACACCGTGAAGGTGTGGTTTTCAGAGTCCTCCGGCAGCTCGCGCTCCTGCCGTCAGGGACAAGGTCAGACACCGCCCAGGTGCCGTCCTCGACGTCCTCTGGCAGTTCGTCCTCCTGCCGTCAGGGGACAAGGTCAGACACCACCCAAGTGCCGTCCTCGACGTCCTCTGACAGTTCGTCCTCCTGCCGTCAGGGGACAAGGTCAGACACCACCCAAGTGCCGTCCTCGACGTCCTCTGGCAGCTCGTCCTCCTGCCGTCAGGGGACAAGGTCAGACACCACCCAAGTGCCGTCCTCGACGTCCTCTGACAGTTCGTCCTCCTGCCGTCAGGGGACAAGGTCAGACACCACCCAAGTGCCGTCCTCGACGTCCTCTGGCAGTTCGTCCTCCTGCCGTCAGGGGACAAGGTCAGACACCACCCAAGTGCCGTCCTCGACGTCCTCTGACAGTTCGTCCTCCTGCCGTCAGGGGACAAGGTCAGACACCACCCAAGTGCCGTCCTCGACGTCCTCTGACAGTTCGTCCTCCTGCCGTCAGGGGACAAGGTCAGACACCACCCAAGTGCCGTCCTCGACGTCCTCTGGCAGTTCGTCCTCCTGCCGTCAGGGGACAAGGTCAGACACCGCCCAGGTGCCGTCCTCGACGTCCTCTGGCAGTTCGTCCTCCTGCCGTCAGGGGACAAGGTCAGACACCACCCAAGTGCCGTCCTCGACGTCCTCTGGCAGCTCGTCCTCCTGCCGTCAGGGGACAAGGTCAGACACCACCCAAGTGCCGTCCTCGACGTCCTCTGGCAGCTCGTCCTCCTGCCGTCAGGGGACAAGGTCAGACACCACCCAAGTGCCGTCCTCGACGTCCTCTGGCAGTTCGTCCTCCTGCCGTCAGGGGACGGGGTCAGACACCGCCCAAGTGCCGTCCTCGACGTCCTCCGGCAGTTCGTCCTCCTGCCGTCAGGGGACAAGGTCAGACACCACCCAGGTGCGGTTCGCGACGTCCTCTGGCAGCTCGTCCTCCTGCCGTCAGGGGATGGGGTCAGACACCGCCCAGGTGCGGTTCGCGACATCACAACCCGAACAACCCCCCCCCCCCCCCCCCCGGCCGTCGCAGCGCGCCCGACATAAAGATCAATCACCGTGCGGGCATCTAGCGCCCCAATCCGCATCCGCGCGTCACCTGCGTCACATCGCAGAACGGGACGGGCTCGCGCCGGGACGACTCCCCGCTGCCGCGCCGGCCCCGCCTCGACAGCGGCCGCTCCCAGCTCACCGCGAAGGTCGTGACCTCGGAGCGGGCGTCCACCGAGCAGATCTGCGCCACCGCCAGCTGCGCCAGCGCCAGCACCTCGCTCGGCAGTGGGCGCGGCAGCAGCCACGGCGACTGGTTGCGGAATTTCGGCATCCAGTACAGCATGCGCGCCAGCTTGCGCACCGGGAACGAGAACTTGCCGAAGATGTTGATCAGCTGGTCGCGCAGCTCCAAGTCGGGCATCACGCCTGCCGGGCAAACAGGGTCACGTGACACCTGTACAGGTGACGCGCATGGGTGTCACACGACACCTGATGATGCGACGTCAAACGCCGCCAGGACGATGACATTAGCGCACTTTGCATGTGGGGGGGGGGGGGGGGGGGGCGCAACACGACATTAGGATGCATGGTTGAGGGAAGCTTTCATCTGCAGTCTCGTGCTACACAACATCTCCTAAGACGGCACTGTGTCTAGTAAAGCGCGCTCAACGCCACGCTCTGCGAGCGGCCTGCGTTTGGCGCGCCCTGACGCCCCTGGAGCGGCGGGCCGGGCGTTACGTTCGCAGCACGGAGCGCTACACCGCATCACCACTGGGGACGTCCACACCAGCTGGGCAAAAGCACTCTCCCACAGCTGCACGCACACGACCGCGGCCAATGCTGCTGCACAAGGAGCGATCGCCTTCACAAGGGCCGGCGTCGCACCGCGTGAGGAACCGCTAGCAGCACGCACGCACGCTCGGCGCCCCGAGAGCCTGACGAAGGGCTGCAGACAGCTGGCTTCTGACGTTTCAGCCCTCACCGCCGCTGAGGCCGCTCCTCACCATTGTCCTCGATCTGCTGGAGGACGTCGATGGCGCAGTTCTGCTGGCGCGGGTAGTGCATGAACTCCACCTGGCAAGCAAGCCCGCGACAGGCTCAGTCGATGCCTGCCTTCACACAGACAACAGAGATAACGTCCCCAGCGAACACTCCACTCGCTGGCAATACAGCCACTTCCATTACAAAACAGAACACCACCACAGTCACGCTCACATTACGAACTTCATGCAAGACGTGCCTCGCGAGTTTTGACACGCGTCAGCGTGCTCTTGGATGTATATTTAGACTTTACGCGGTGCTGTCGCACAATGGAACGTTCGTGCGACGTGCCCACAGTCGACCTGTCGTCTCTGGGATTACAATACCGAGCACATGGACACAATCTCACTCGTAAGCACCAATGGAGCACAACTGCACAAAGCACAAAACACACATGGCGCGGAGCACAAACCGCGGCAACCTCGCTCGTTAAGATAAACGTCATCCCAGTGTTAGGATATTTCAGACTCCATTGTCGCAGCATTGTGTGAATAACCTGTTGGTATGACGACAACCACGGAGAGCGCCACGAGAGGTGTGCTGATCATTTATACCAACGACAAAACAACATATTCACACCACCGACAATAAAAAGACGGCACCATCCAACACCCCACATCGGGTTTCATGTTCAAACCTGACATACCAAGCCTTGACCATCACTTTCCGATCATTTTCCAAAGTACATACCTGAAACACATTGGTGGAGACCAGCTGGGCGGTCGGGAACACACCCAGCACCTTCTTATAGGCTTCTAGGTCCTTGTGGACACCGAAGTTCTCCATCTCCTTGAGCGCGGCGTAGATGAACTCGACGTGTCCCCTCTTGTGTACCGTCATCTCGTGGAACATGTCCATGGCCGCCAGATAGGTCTCCTTGTTCTTCTCCTGTGGTGCCGTGTATGAGTATGACCGACGTTGTGTATGGATGGAATGCGCAACATTGGCAACACACATATTGCTCACGCAAGTACGGAACATTACTGATCAACTATCACATTTTGAATAAATTATCAGAGGACTCATCATAAGAAAACTTATCTTTCACGCACAAATGTCAGGAGTGTGATGTGTTGTAACCATTCCTGAAACATTTCAACCTTCTGTTTGGCACAAACGGCTTTGAGACCCCAGTATGTGTTGGGAGTTGTCTTTTTTGCTTCCCCTTTGAAGTCAACAAACCAAATTCAAGTTAATGCAAAAATAATCTTGTATCATAACTATAACACAAAGTGGGCAGCCAGGTAGTGTTTTTGTAGCGCATACTGCTGTGACATGGACGCCCTGCTTAGCCACTATATATATATATATATATATATATATATATATATATATATATAAGTAACATCAGACACGGCACGCACTCTGGGGATCCTGACGCATATTCCCTCAGCTGAAGTAGCTGTAATTTCTGGATCAGTGCTGAGTGGTAGCCGGATCACGCAGTCCAAACAACACCTAACGCCAATGGTACAACGCCCAAATTTTCAAGCAGAGCACATGCAGAGCCCACTTGTTCTCGGCTTCATTGAGGAGCAGGGCAGTATCCATGGCTTCATTCATGTTATTACCATGTGTTATCTTAGATTACCGGATTCACCTGATTTTCTTTGTGTTTCTCACATGTACCGGGCTAAGTCCCTCTCTCGGCCGCCTGCCAGCACCGGCAGGTCGCACCTTAGCGCCAGCAAAGATGGTGTGCGGCACCAGCCGTGAACTCGCACCTTAGCGTTAGCAAAGATGTTGCGCGGCACCAGCTGTGAACTCGCACCTCAGCGTCAGCGACGGTGGTGCGCGGCACCAGCTATGAAATCGCACCTTAGCGTCAGCGAAGGTGGTGCGCGGCACCAGCTGTGAACTCGCACCTTAGCATCAGCGAAGATGGTGCGCGGCACCAGCTGCGAGCTCGCCGGCTGGTCGCGCCGCAGACCGGCCGTCGCGTGCAGGCGGCGGCCGGCCGGCCGCGGGCGGACGCTGCGCAGCCGGCACCAGGTCACCCGCAGGCCATGCGGCGTCAGACAGCGCTGCAGCATGCTGGCCACCGACGCTGGGCCGCGGCCGGGGTGGCAGGTCACGGACGGATCTCTGGCACCTGCTGGCCGCTCTCTAAAATGAGGAAGCATGTGCAGTTGTTGTAGAAACTTGATAGCTAGTTGGCAATGATTCCAGGAACAGAGTTAAAACATTAGGTGCGCATTGGGTATGGTTTAACAGTGGGCTTACATCAGCAAGATGTGAAAAAGCAGCTTTGCTGCTAATCAGGCTTGTGATCAATGGCCTGCACCAGAAAATGTACACAGCTTTAAAGCAGTTGCAAATATCCTAGAAGCTACACTTTTGCACCAGCTCATCTCAGAATTTAAAGCACAGTACCACGCATACCACCAAACATTTGTTTCGTGAAGGGTGGATCTAAGGGAGCCAACCGGGACATGGCCTCTCAAAGATGGCCCAATCTTGGCAAAAAGTGGCATACTTCTGAGCTTTGGAGGACATCTCAGCGGCTTTTATCGCAAAAAGCTCCCTTTAACACTCATTGACATACGGGAAAGTAAAATTTTATGGTCGCAAATCTACTGATGATCCCACAACCAAAATGCATCATAGGTATACAGGTACTCATACAATCTCATTCTTAACCAGGGCCGCAACCATTGAGTTGATTTTCTCAAAGACCAATGACTACCTCTGCTTGCTCGAAGATAAAACATACTATGACGGTCAGGAGTGTCAATTTTGTAAATGATTGAGCAGGGGGCTGGACCGATGTGTCAAAGCCTACCAGCCACACCCTATTTTTTCTCATCGGTTTTAGCTCACCTGATTTTCACAAAAAGCACTTTATAGTTGTAAGTTTTGTATTCCTCATGATAAACTTAAATTAAGAAGCACAGCACTCATGTGGGGACAGATCCAGAGCAGGAGGGGGGGGGGGGGGGGGGGGGGAGGGTACTGGAGACACGTGTCCCTTCCTATCGGAAACCAAGGCGCCCCTTTAGACGCTACCTTGCGGCACCTAATGCGCTCTTCTATGTCGATCACTAGCGTAGGCGTAGCTCACTGTCCCGTTTTTGGTTGTGAGGCCGGGACGCGGTTATCCATAAAGAACAGGCACTCGGGAGCACTCCAGAGCACTCCAAAGGCACTCCGGAGCTTTTCAGCTCAACCTTTCAATCATCGGCAAATCTCGTGGTCCTAGGTATGTCAAGTTTATCGCAACGTTTCTCCGCTCAGCCGTTTCGATTTATATCTGGCGATGAGAGAGAACACGACTTGTATTACAAGACGAACTTGTATTACAAGTTCTAGCGTTTGTAGGTGCACTGATATGCACAAGCTCGCGTTTCCACACGGTGGTTAACATCCAGCTACATTAATGGATCCAACTACTAGGCGTGGGTACCAAGCCATTCGGCAAAATTACACAGGGTGATACAATTTTATTGTTGTCTTTGGCCTCAGGTCACGGCGTCCCCCTGACAAAAGCAGTGCAGCTTTATTTAAGATCCAGTTTTGGTATGACAGGCAGGCGTCACCCAAAATTTTGGCCGGGCCTCAGCACTGAGCAACATTTTTGATGCCACTATGTTTCATGGCATCAACAATTCATTGTGACCAATATCTGCATGGGATTAAGGCCCAAAAGAAACTGCTTCCATGACAAACAAAAGACATTCTGAGTGAACAGTAATGAGAATTTGTGGAAACTGGTACAAAAAGGCATGTGCTATTCATGGGACCACTGCGAGCATTCTTTCAATAAATTGCCACCATGCTCCTTAGGTGTGTACAGAGTCCATTGACCGGGTATGTTACATTATGTCACATTATTACATACATTACATACAGTCACATTATGCAAGTTATTTTGATTTTATGTGGACTGGTTCTTTATCAGCATAGCAAATAAAGGATCCCCTAAAAAATCAGTTGGACTTAAATGCAAAATATTGCATGTTATTAATTGACACCAGTTTCTGCTGAACACAGCAATGCATTTCTTCCTTAGACACTTCTTTAAAGCCTGAACTGGTACATTCCCAAAAGATGATAAAACAACACAGATTAACATTTTGAACCACAATGGCCACAGGATGACAGATGTGGCCCAAACATTCCCATAAAATTGTCCTGAACAGGATTGTTGAAAGCACTGCCACTGTTACAATCACTGTTATCTTATATGTATCTGAGTTTAACTGTATGTAACTGCTTTCTCAGTCACAGGCTATATCTCATGACATGAACACTTAGTGAAGTAGCAGCAAACAGACATCACCTTTATCACAAAGCCATTGGCTGTAATGAGTAAATTCTCGCAAAGAGCGCATATTGCTGCAAATGTACCAGTGGTCATTACCCAGGTCCATCTTTCCTGGAGCTATTAAGTTATGTTGATCACATTCTGGATGTAGTGAAAAATGTTAGGGCGGGGTCACCATCCAGAAAAAGTGTTAATGTCAAAGAAAACCATCTGGCTGTTGGCTTGATAGTGTCAGTCTGGTTACAGCACATTCACTAGTTGTGTAACTGCATAACACCTCGGCCATTTTGTGCTTATTTGATAAATGTAGTAGGGAAGACAGGCTCATAAGTCTGTATCAGCCCTCTTGTGAGATACAGCCATAGCCTCCATTATGAGTGTTTAAGTCTATGTTATGTCCTTAGACATGCACAAGAGTAGAAACAACTCAGCAGCTCAATATTCACTGATATTAAAAACCTACTTTTTCAATCAAAATTTATTGAATTTTTTCCAGGGTAAATAAGAGACTTTGGCTTACTGCAACGCCTTTTATTTTAAACGTGTGCCTTTTTTCGAAACGCACAAATAAATAACCACAAACCCACTTTTTAGCACCGAATCCGTAACCGCATCATAGCTACATTGCTTTAGCCCTATTCAATCCATGTACAGAACATGGTCCAACCGAACCCACAAATAATGCAACACAGCAGTATTTCCAACCTTTCCAACACTGCCCAACCGGCCTAACCAAACCACGCCAGCAAACGCAAAAATCTTCTTGGCACCGAAATGTCTGTGCTGCGTCAGATAAAGACGAATGGAGTGCGTTAAATTACTGCATAATGTTTCGCAGCTAAATTAGTTGCATAAATTAAAACTGCCACGTTTTATCTATCTCAGCAGTTCGGTGCCATTAGTTATGGTCCCATTTAAGTACTGTTACCACTTGGTTTTATAACGACAGTAATCAGCATCAGCAATAATGGAGATAAGGTAAAACAGGTTACTAAAATATTTGTCAAGACAGAGACAAAACTGAAATCTAAAGAGAAATCCTGCATATAAGAGGAAGAACTTTCATCTGTTTTATTGTGGTAATTTGATCATTTTGCTCTAGCTGTTGTGCAGAAATGCCTTTTGATATGGCGTAAGATTGAAGACTTGGTTGCAAACTCCCAGAGAAATCTTCGAACAGCATGTTAGGGCAGTGAATAGCGGCCAGCGTCGCGCACCAGAGACAGGGGCTTACTGAGGAAGACATGCCTACAACTAACTGAGAGGTTCACGATATCGCTTAAATTGGTTTCTCAGCTTCTGTGTGGTCTTACACGTTGTTGGTGTTTTCGGTGGAGCCCGATAAAACGTTGGATAAGTCTACGTGACCAGAGTACGCTTATTCTTGAAGTTGAAATCCTGGTCTCGACTTACCTGTCTCATATTGGTTACCCACGGTGTAACTATGCAGGGTCCTTTTGCACCGGCCAATTTCCCACGTTTGTGGGGTTCATAAGTCGACGTGTTACTTTCCTGTGGCTTTGCTTTTCCACCTTTGTCCGCCTCATTAGCTTAAAGGTTGATCAGAATAGATAGCTTACCATAATGTTGATGTATTTGATTATATTTGTTGCAATTTTTATCTTTTAACTTAAGTATGTTGCACATCCTAATGCCAGTTATGGGCATAGAATAACCTCAGATGTTGGTGTGCCCTACAGTACCAATCATCATTATCTGTAACCCTTGAAGTGGAAAGGAGGGGAATAATTGTGAAAGAAATTGCTTGCATCAGTCCCTCGATCACCTGAATGTCTCTGTGCATCACCTGAATCACACCTTGGATGAGGGAGGGGTGATTCAGGGATAATTAAGTTGGCAAATGACTAGTAGGGAGTTAGGTTGCTATGGGGTGATGCAAGCTTTGTGGGCTATGAAGAAGATCCTTCAATAGTTTTGGCTGAGAGGCTGATGTTAGCTTTCAGCTGAACCACACTTCAAGTGTTGAGACTATCAGTCTGCACCATCCCACCCTGTAGAAAGACTGGTCCAAAATTATCCAGAAAATACTTGTCCATGAGAGCATTGTGTTTTTGTGTGTCTGAACATCACTTAAATATGTTATAGGTACCTGGTACCTACCTGATGGTCATTTTTGTCAATCCCTTGTAGGTCTTGTTTATGTCAGTCCTTTGATATGAATAGTGGTTGGTCCACAGCATTGTCAGCTGAGTATCTCAGTCTCTGATGCTGTCATTGTCATTGCTTGGTGTGCTTGGATGTTTATTGTGACAATGCCGAGTAAACTTGGAACTGCTGGCACTTCAAAAATTTGCAGATCATCTTTGTTGGAAGTCTAGAACCAGAACTAACCATATGCATGATTATTTGTATGGAAATATATGACTCTTTTTCAAATCAGTGAAAACATCTAGCTTGGGGGTGGGGATGCAGGCAAATCCAGTGCAGCATGCCAGTGATATCAGTGATGATCCTCTTGTTTGATTGTTTTTACCCCAGATATTCATTGTGAGTCCTTTACTGTAAGAACATTGGCTCTTCCCAGGTATCAAGTTTGGCAATGTTCCTACCAGGGACCAAATGATGATTATGATGAGAGTCACAGATGGAGCAGCAAATAGTTGCAAAGAAACATTGAGTGGCCTGCATGGCCACATGCTGCTGTGTGACCATTAGCACATTTTTTCTAGGTTAAAACCAATGTTAACAATGAGAACAGCTTTGTTTTGGGCTGAGTAGCATTGCTAAGCTGCTTTGCTCTCTTAACATTAAGGGCAGTTTGGCTTTGAACTGAGAAACACTGCTAAGTTGCTGTGTTTTCTTGCAGAGCTGTGTGAGAGAGCCACTCCACTACTGCGGATTCCACGTCGCCCACGGCTGGAGACAAGCAGACACGATCAGCCATGATCGAGGTCACGTGCAATGACCGGTTGGGCAAGAAAGTGCGGGTCAAATGCAACCCGGACGACACGATCGGCGACCTTAAGAAGCTGGTGGCGGCCCAGACGGGCACGCGCTGGGACAAGATTGTGCTCAAGAAGTGGTACACTGTCTTCAAGGACCACATCACGCTGGAGGACTATGAGATCCACGACGGAATGAACCTGGAGCTGTACTACCAGTGACCTGACAGCGCGTTAAGTGGTCTCCCGTGCTCCAGTGGCACCTGCCTCGGCCCCTCCGTGCCTCCGGCTCGCGTCCGCCAGCGTCTAAAGCAGCTGCTCCTGCTGCTGCCACTGCTGCATCGCATGGAGGGGCGTCGCTGGATGGAGAGGGGTGCGACGCCGGGGTTGGCGGCACCGGGACGGTCCTTCCTTGGGCCAGTGCTCGGGTCGGTACTACGGGGCCCGCCGTCAGCTGCCAAGGGCGCCAGCGCCGTCTGTGATGACGTCACACGGGACGACGGGGCTGGCTTGTGATGCGACCTCTGGTGGGCCGAATGATCGCCAGTGATTGTTCAGGGCCTGGTGAAGTGCCCGCCGGCCACCGGAGTCTTTTTTAAAACGTGTGTTTTGTATGTGGGGTATCGGAGAGCTGAGCACATTAAGGCTCATTTCCCAACCAGGAAAGGAACATGTCTCTCAGCAAGACAGTTCCTTATTTTTGTTACCAATCTAATAACACTCAGTTTTGTTTAAGTTTGCTGGTTTTGCAGTTGAGTGCTGCAGCTTTAGCTACCTTCCTTGCGCTGTGTTCGCGCCTCGGATATGAAAATAAATCAAACTCGTACTTTCCACACGTGACGTCGCTGCCTTCTCGTTCAGGTCACAGTATAGCTGGGCTCCAATTTTACGGACGCTTTCAGGGACTCCGAGAGGATCCTGCTGAAACATTTGATGATGTGGGTACGTGATCGCCTCGGGCGAGTGTGACACGCTCAATTATGAAAGCATTTGTAAAGCGGAGACTCCTCCAGAACTAGTGCATTTACTGCTAACGACAAAGCTTCCACGGCATGACTTCTAACGCAAGCGCTTCTACGCGCCAGTACTACTAATGCAAGAGCTTCTAACGCATAAACTTTTACGAGATAAAACATTTTATGCAAAAACTTTTTCGCGACATGATTGACATTCTTGGGCTCTAACCACGTCTTTAATTGGCTAACGGGACCCTTGGCTGGCTCACAAAACCTCTGTCTTGTACGGGACCAGAGACGCTATTAAGCATTCAGGGATCCCGGGTCGAGGAGGGGCTCCCCTTTGCCACAGGGACCTCGAGCGAAGTAAGTGCAGGCGCCGTTACTGGCATTCGATGGGTCGTGGCCCCGCTCCTGTTCAGTTGTGAAAGCCCATGGTCGGTATCGGGATTCTCCTGTCCGGTACCGTCGGCATCGGGATTCTCCTGTCCGGTGCCGTCGGTATCGGGATTCTCCTGTCCGGTACCGGACTCCCTAAACGACAGCGGAGCCCCTTCGGTTCCACGAGAGCCCGCGGGCCACGCCGGAGGCCATCTGGCTGATGGAAGTCTGCTCTGTCCCTGTTACACAGATGGGGCTCTGGCTGGTAGGGGTCGCTGTTGGGTGCCGGGGCCCCTGAACAGAGGGCCTCTCGTTGCCTCATAGGTTTTCATAGTAACTCAAGAGGAGTTCCTTCGACTGAGATCGGAAGCCTCTTGCTCTGCCCCTGTTCGGCTGATGGGGATCCTGGCCGGCACAGAGCTCCTCTTCAATGCCGTGGATTCCATGCTCCGTATCGGAGATCCCGTGCTTCGTATCGGAGATCCCACGCTTCGTATCGGAGATCCATGGCAACTGAACCGATCCTCTGTTCAGTTTCCTGCTCAGTACCGGGGCTCCTTGGCCAATAGAGGGGCCCTTAATGTGGCAGAGGCCTCTGAGCGGCGCCGGAGAAGGGTGTCTAATATCCTTGGGTCTTGGTGCTGGTCCTGTTCGACAGGTGGGCCCAGTAACGGACCCGGGGTCGGTGAATCAGGGTCGCCTCATCACTTCCGGGACTTCTGGCCGACAAACGGGCTCCCATAATGTTTCAAAGCCCGCAAAACCCCGGTCGGTCCTTTGAGCCATTCGGGCCTGAAGGGCCCACCGAGGGACTCTCGATCCCCAAAGGGGTTTAACCCCATGGGTTCCCTTGCATCTCCCCGGGCAGGGATGATGCCTACCGATTGAGCAGCTCATGTGGTGCTGTCAAACGCTACCTACACCATCGGACCGGGCGTGTGTCACCATTTAAAGTATGCGTTTTAAACTGCGCACAGCAATTTTCATGGTAAACATGTTTGGAAACACCTTTTTAATAGTAAACATCAACATGAAATCATTTGCATAGCAATGAATTGCAGGCAAGCATGTGCATAGATGTTGCACATTTGGTCATGTGCAGAAATGCCCAATTGTACTTGTACTTGTACGCTTATCGTTACAAGTACAATTGCAGACCAATATTAATTAGGATGCCACGTCTATATCGCATAGAAGTGGTACGTTAGAAGTTATACCGCGTAAAAACATTGTCGCGCAAAAGTTTTGCGTTCGAATGTAACCGCATGGAATTTTATACTTTAGAAGATTCTGCATAAAAGGTTATGCTGCACAAAGGTTTGCGTCGGACATTTTGTTACCTGGAAAGAATTTTGAGTATGAGCTTTGCGTTAGAAGATTTGCCATGTAGAAGTTCATGCGTTAGAAGTTCTTCCATTGGAAGTGATCTCGCGTAAGTTTTCCGTGAGAAATTTTGTTGCGTAAAAATAAATATTACAGGGAAGCTTTTACGTCAGAAGAGCGGTCTCGTAGAAGCGTTGTGTAGAAGTATTTTCATTAGTAGCTTTGTCGCTTAGAACGTTACGCGTCAGAAGTCCTTGCATTGTATCCAGTGTCTCATAGAAGCTTTTGCATCAGAGCTTTTGTCACAGAAGTAATATCGCGTAGCAGTTCTACCGCACAAATGTTTTGCATTACAAGTTCTTGCATGAGAGACAATGCCGTATAGAAGTCGTGTGGCGCGAGTTCCGTCGTCAGCAGTATTTGTGTTAACGATATCGTCAGCACACTGTGCAACAGAGGTTCCTGAGAGTTTGGAGTTGGACGAGGTTCTCGGCGGCGGAGAGTAACATTTCAAGCCGCACTGTTTGGCACGCACAAATTCTCCAGGCTGTGCCACGTTCGTCTCGAGAACCCATTTGAAATACTTGGGCTGGCATGCGCCAAAAATGTCAGCCGGTCGTGCCGCCGCAGCCCACAAGCGGTCGAACGTCATCAGAAGCCAAAACAGTCGACCATTCGTCCGCCAAATGACGGCCGTCCGGCAGGTAATGCCGCAGGGCAATCCACAGTGAAGAGATTACCGCCGACGAGTTCGGCGCAGTCATCGCCTTGAGGCTTCGGCTTCGGCTTCGGCGCGCCACATGGTCCGATTACAGTGCCGCACTCTTTGCTATATAAAGGCGCCTGCGAAGCCTAGAAGGCTGCGTGGCAAACAGCCCAGTGGCTCGCGTTCGCCAGCGTCTCAGCGCTCACTGCCTTACAGTTTTATGTTGCTTCCTGTAAATCCCGTCTGTGCGTAGTTTGCGTGCTCACGGCCTTACAGCTGTATGTTGTCTCCTGTAAATGCCGTCCCGTTCGCGCGGGTACGTCGGCGTGCGCACCCGCGACGATAAGGCACCAACAAGGAACCAACGGGACTTGCCGACGAAAGACGCTTGTTACAATAGCGGTTTATAGCGGTTTATTTCGCGGCGGATTCGCCAGCAAAGATCCGTAATATTCGCCTTCCCTCACACATGCTCCAGTGGTAACACGGTGAAAATCAATAAATATCAACCGCAGTTCAGCATGACGATTCAACATTGAAGTAATCACTGAATGTTCGGGCATGATCGTGCCCATGAAACAATGACAAAAATATACAATAGCAATGGCTAGACGCATTACACTATGCCCCGATTAAAAAGTGACTGCAACTCAGAACACGTCCAGAACACCTTCGCCACCAATAATGTAAGTTAAAAATATACATTTTCACACGCGTGCTCTGCAGCCAGCGTCGCGTAACTACAAAGTGACGCGAGGTCTCAGTACACTGAAAGACACAGCCCGCCTGGAGCAGCGCAGCAGCTGTGATCCCGCCAGCCCACGTCGCGCCACTGGTCCCAGCGCCGCCCGCGCGTCGCCGGCCCGGAGTCACGGTCAGCGCCGCCTCCGGACCCCGCCGAGTATCACTGCCGCCGCCGGCGCCGGCGCCGCGGCCGGGCGCGCAACTGTGCACAGCGTGGCCGGCAAGTGCGGGGTGGGTGAGTGCGCCGGCGGTCCGAGGATCCGTCCCCAGCGGCTGAGCTGTGTCCAGGCGCGGCCTGACCCCCGCCGCCCCGAGATCGCGGCTGCCGTCCGTGGAGCGGAGTCCTCGATGCCGCTCAGCGGGCGTCAGCCCCCGGTCCAGCGGCGGTGCTGGGCCTCAGCGGCCGCCGGCCTCGACGGCTGCCGCTCGCGCCGCTCTGACCGCCGGCGGAGGCGTGCCGGCCCGCGGCGGCGCGGCCGGCCGCTAGGTGTCCTCCCCGAGCTCGAGGAACTGGGCGTACAGCTCGCGCCGGCACTCGCCTTTGGCCGTGAACCCGTACTTGTAGTAGCTGCCGTCAGCACACACCACTGCAACCAGACCCGGCCGTCAATCGGGGGAAAGCCCAATGTTCCACGGCGTGAGGTTATACTTCGTTGTTTGCTGCACAATGGCATGAGGTGATGTGATGAGAAGCGGCGTCAAGTAGGTAGTGGCATAGAGCGACACAAATGAAAACAGCACGGAGCGGGTACGGCAAACTGGGCGCCGCAATGTAGGCAGCTCTTTCGTGAGTGACGAGTTACAATCACAAAGAGAGACTACAGCTTTCCGATGTTCATTCCATCACCTGGCTGAAAAGTAACAGTAAGTAATTCTTACCCCAGGCCTTGGTAAAGCTTGCATTTACATTATGTGCAACGATGGTATTACTGTCGGTGCCCATCCCCATGCCCTGTGGTTTTGCCTCTGCAAATCTACGTCTCGGCTAGATTGCAGTGCGTGTAAAAAGTTAAACACAACGCGGCCTGCCGCCATCTTCGAAAACGCCAGAAAAACAAACGTAACGCCCACAGATTTTCCCCGCAGGCTGTGACGCCATGTTTTCGTCCCGTCTGGAAGGTGACTGTGCCGATGCACGCGCTGACCTCGCACCAGGGCTCTTTCCCCATTAGCTGTCTGTCAGCAGGACCGTGTGCCGATTGCCTAAGCTCGAGTCGCCACCGCACCAGCCTCGGCAATGAGCAGAGCCTAGGCACCAACGCAGAGGTGGCCTCTGCTTAGGCGAAGACGGAATATTACGTTAAGATAACCGGGGAAACCTCATCTCCTGCCCGATTTCGACGGCACACTTTTTCTTCAAAAGTCGACACGAGCTCATATCAGATTTGCATGTGAAATGCGCCCAAGTCTCATCATTGCTTCCACGAGCCACTAACTTCTCAAGCACATTTGTCGAACTATTAATAATACATATGCAGACTAGACATCTGTGAAGTAAGATCTGCATGCCGCAAAAAGTCAGTGAATGCCTAAGGAAACGTCGGCAAACTTGGGATGGCGAATACAGAATGCGTAGGTCAGCATGTGTTTGCAATCGCAGCTAAGTCTTTGCACACTGCGACACTTGGTGCCTATTATATCTGAGCTACTATATTCAATGATATCCCTCACCAAAAGACGGCAAGGAAAGGGACACGACGCGGCAGTAGTACGCTTTCAAATGCATATACGTAAGACTGGGAAATCTCCAGCCTGACAAAATCATGGCAGGGGAGGAGCCTTACGGCAACGTTCTCACGTTTCGGCGCATGCAACAGCTCTTGCGTGCCTACTTTGCCATGGAATCAAAGATCTAGCTTCCCACACCGTTGGGTTCCAATGACCTTTGTAAATGTCACGTACATCAATAACGTTTATAAAAGATGTCAGACCTAAAGGTCTAAAGGTCAGGTGACGTCTGAGGAAAGGAAGGGGCGTTCCGAGCATTACGGTACCTTAAACTTTCGCCACACACTTCAGCCGCCCACCTAGAAATTCAAGATCAGGTGGCACGACAGGGGTCCACACAAAAAGCCTTGCTTAGCTTGAGCTCCGATCCCAGAAATCTATCCCATCAATAGGTTTCCAATTCCTTTAAAATGATTAAAGAAAAAAGTCACGTGTCTTCTATCACAAGCCGACATGAAAAATGGATCACACCACACCAAAAGAAAACTTCAACACAGCTTGAAGTACTAGTCGGCGTGAGGAGCTTTTAGAACGGGTTCAGCGCGGTGATCCGATGGCTGATCAGGCCAAGTCCGAAACCGAAACCGAAACATCACCATCGCGCGCCCGCAGACGCCAAACTCCGCAAGCGCGAGCTGCACCGCCCTCCGCCGAACGCTTCGACGGGTACAAAAAGAGCCGGAACGGCACACCAAACTCATCCGTTGGCAGCAGGGAGCGTTCTACAGGGCATCAAAAAACTACCCAACACTACAATAGTCTACCAACCCCACGCCTCCCAGCGCGGCCCCTTACCGATGACCGACTTGTTGTCGGCGCCGAACGCGCAGATGCACTGCGGCCCGCCGGGCACCTGGAACCGGCCGAACGACCAGCGCGAATTGAAGTACTTGGGCAGCAGGGCGGCGGCGGCCGGCACCAGTCTGCGGACGGCGGCAAGGAGGTCAGCGGCGGGCGGCCGGCGGAGGGGCGGGCGATGCGGCGGGACGGGGAGTTGAAGTACTTGGGCAGCAGGGCGGCGGCGGCCGGCACCAGTCTGCGGACGGCGGCAGGACAGGTCAGCGGCAGGCGGCGGAGGGGCGGGCGGCGCGGCAGGGCAAGGAGTTGAAGTACTTGGGCAGCAGGGCGGCGGCGGCCGGCACGAGTCTGCGGACGGCGGCAGGGGGGTCAGCGGCGGGCGGCGGGGGCGGGCGGCGGCGAGGGCGGGCGGCGCGACGGACGGGGAGCTGGAGCAGCACGCGAAGCCGGCTGTCTTCACCGGGCGATTTGTCGGGCGAGGTGTTCATGGTGACACGTGCAGTTCAGATACGTCCGTCCCATGCAGCCGTACGTCTGACGTATGGATACACTGACAATTACCTAACGCGAGAACGCGCCTATGCAGGAATTAAACATTACATTAAACACAACGCAGTGAGAGACTTCGCGCATAATATGTCGTCTGCTCAGGCACGTATGACACATGATCCAGACCGCCTAAAAACGGCCGATGTGTGCCTGATGCTTGAAAGATTAGCAGGCACCATGTGATCCGCAAAGACCGCCAAAGATGACCTAAGCCGTCCCAGTTCTGAAGCATTTTCGGCCTCATGAATCAAACCTGTGTTTTGCAGGGAATCCATTACGCTCTTAGCCAAGTCTAAATCCCTCCAGTATCGCCTAGCCGAGACCAACTGAGCTAAAAAGAGCCCCGTGATACTGGCCACGACCTTGACGCCCGAGATGGCCCAACACTGCTGACAAAGGCGCCGACCGCAGCAGAGTGTCGGCACTGCCGGCGCTGGCGGTCTCGGGCAGGGCCGCCGCCACCGCGGAACCAGCGGCCCTGCCGGCCAGCCGGCCAGCCGGACCGCCGAACAGGGATGGTGCCACCCCTGTCCGGCCGGCACCGCCCCTGCCAGCGGCGGCAGGGGCGGCGCGGCAGGCGGCCCCGGCGACGGCGGCCGGCCGCTCACCCGGTCTCCTTGGCCTTGTGCTCCTCCTCCACGGCGAACACGTGCACGGTGCCGTGGTCGCTGGACACGCACAGCAGCGACGAGTCGTGGTTGAAGTTGATGCTGGGGACGACGCTTTAGGTCAGAGGGTCGGGCGGGGCAGCATCTCTCACAAATGTCGCCGGTCAGTGATACCGAGCACCGCACGGTGGGACAAACACCTGGCCCGCGCAACTGCATTGCAGGCCAACACTTGTGCACGTGCACTTAGCACACGTGCTGTCAACACATGCGTGGTGCGGATGATATGGAGACGGGCAGCGACGCTGGGCTTCGGGTCGAGCCTCGTACGCCGTACCTCAAGCCAGAGGTACGGGGTTCGGTTCCGCGCGGTGCCCACCCTTCCTACCAGGGTGGTGGGCACGCGACGCCACAAAGCCTCAGCAGCTGCGTGCTTCGTAAAACCCCAACTGACGATGACGACGACGACGACGCACTGCCCAGCACGTGTCTGGCACATGGGGCTCACCCGTGACTATGGGCGACCCAGGGCCACTGTGCTTAGCTCACCAGCGACTATGGCCGGGCCGGGGCCGACACTGTGCTGAGCTCACCAGTGACTGTGGACGGCCCAGGACCACTGTGCTGAGCTCACCAGCGACCATGGCCGGATCCAGGGTCACTGTGCTGAGCTCACCAGCGACTATGGCCGGACCCGAGGCCATTGTGCTGAGCTCACCAGTGACTATGGACGACCTGGGGCCACTGTGCTGAGCTGCCCAGCGACCATGGACGGCCCGGGGCCACTGTGCTGAGTTCGCCAGCGACTATGGCCGGACCCGGGGCCGACACTGTGCTGAGCTCACCAGTAGATGTGGGCGTTGTTGGCTCCCCGGCGCAGCTCGCAGAGTATGTCGCCGGATGACGTGTCGAACACCCGGATCAGCGTCCCCTGCGGCCGCCGCCGACAGTCAGTGGGACGGTCAGTGGGACAGTCAGTGGGACAGTCAGTGGGACAGTCAGCGGGACAGTCAATGGAACAGTCGGTGGCACAGTCAGTGGAACAGTCAGTGGGACAGCCAGTGGCAGAGTCAGTGGGAAAGTCAGTGGCACAGTCAGTCCCACTGACTGTCAGTGGGGCAGTCGGTGGCACAGTCAGTGAAATAGTCAGTGGAATAGTCAGTGGAATAGTCAGTGGCACAGTCAGTGGCACAGTCAGTGGGATAGTCAGCATCAAAGTCAGTAGCACAGTCAGTGGGACATCAGTGAGACAGTCAGTGGGGCAGTCAGTGGGACAGTCAGTGGGACAGTCAGCAGCACAGTCAGCAGCACAGTCAGCAGAACAGTCAGTGGGACTGTTAGTGGGACAGTTAGTGGGACAGTCAATGGTCAATGGGGCAGTCAGTGGGACAGCCCGCGGTACAGTCAATGGGGCAGTTAGTGGGACAGTCAATGGTCAATGGGGCAGTCAGTGGGACAGCCCGTGGTACAGTCAATGGGGCAGTTGGTGGGACAGTCAGTGGGACAGTCAGCGGGACAGGGCAACGGAGGACGGTGACACGCGGCAATGCGGCACGGTTGCCGGCACACAGCGTAAGGCAAGTCTGTTTACTGGCTGTCGGGTGGGACAGAGACAAACCGCCGCCGGCCGACCAGCAGGCAGTGGCCCGATGGGTGTTTGCACAAACGACCGTGTATTTGGCCCCGAGGGTTCGTCCCACGTCCCGTAGCTTCTTCAGATGATAGAATTGCGATTTCCCTACACACTTTTCGAATTGGTGGGCACACTCGGAGCCAGCCCCGACCGCGTTACGCATTGGACGATCTTAAGGCGGTAAAGGTGACCCAGGGGTTTCACAGACCTTGACGTGCCCGTTCGCCACATATCCGATCTCTATCGATTTTTTCGAGCACGACTGGATGTATTTGCACCGGGGGCTTACCGCGGCCCTGGCGACAGTCCGAGCGAGACGCCGGCATGTCGACCGAGCCGACGTCTCCGACATGGCTGGTTCGCTTTTATGGCAACGCCTCGTAGCTGAATGACTGAACCAGCAAGAACATCTCCTTCCCTCCACGCCGTGGATTCTGCCATAGCTGAACGAAGATTTTTCCGATATTTGCAGAGCAAAATATCACGCCTCCGATTGTCCAATAGTCGACAACGCCTTCAGGTCCAACACCCTCCTCTCTCCTCACTTTTCGCTCGCAACGGAGTCACTGCCCCGCAGAACCTCCCGCCGGCTGTGGCGGCGTACCTGGCCCGAGCCTCTGCATGCGCCAACACACGACACCACAAACCGGACAAATCTCACGTCCAGGCCGCACGGGCCACACCAACGACGCCACCCACCTCAAATACTAGCAATTCACACGTCTGAGCCTGCCCATTCTACCGGGCACGGCACATCACGTGTCTGAGCTCACCACAGCCGTGCCGTACCTTTTGGCTGGCGGTGGCCAGACGCGTGCCGTGCAGGTTGAGCTGGAGGCAGCTGAGCGCAGCCTCGTGCGCGGCCACGTCCAGCGGCGGCCGGGACGTGTCGGCCAGGTCCACCAGGTGCACGTGGCCGGTGCGCGCGCCGGGGAACGCCAGCAGCGAGGCGCTCGAGTTGGGGCAGAGCACGCACAGGCCTGCCGGTGGCGGCGGCCGGTCAGTGGAGGGTACCGGCGGGGCGGGTGGGGAGGAGCAGAGCACGCACAGGCCTGCCGGTGGCGGCGGCCGGTCAGTGGGGGGTGTCGGCGGGGCGGGCGGGGTGGGGAGGGGCAGGGCAGAGCACGCACAGGCCTGCCGGTGGCGGCGGCCGATCAGCGAGGGGTGCCGGCGTGGTGGGCGGGGAGGGGCAGGGTAGAGCACGCACAGGCCTGCCGGTGGCGGCGGTTGGTCAGTGTGGGGGGGGGGGGGGGGGTGCCGGCGGGGTGGGCGGGGAGGGGCAGGGCACGCACAGGCCTGCCGGTGGCGGCGGCCGGTCAGTGGGGGGTGCCGGCGGGGTGGGCGGGGTGGGGCGGGGCAGAGCACGCACAGGCCTGCCGGTGGCGGCGGCCGGTCAGCGAGGGGTGCCGGCGGGGTGGGCGGGGAGGGGTAGAGCACGCACAGGCCTGCCGGTGGCGGCGGCCGGTCAGTGGGGGGTGCCGGCGGGGTGGGCGGGGTGGGGCAGGGCAGAGCACGCACAGGCCTGCCGGTGGCGGCAGCCGATCAGCGAGGGGTGCCGGCGGGGTGGGCGGGGAGGGGCAGGGCAGAGCACGCACAGGCCTGCCGGTGGCGGCGGCCGGTCAGTGGGGGGTGCCGGCGGGGTGGGCGGGCGGGGCAGGGCAGAGCACGCACAGGCCTGCCGGTGGCGGCGGCCGGTCAGTGGGGGGTGCCGGCGGGGCGAGTGAGGAGGGGCGGGCGGGGAGGAGCGGCCAGAGCGGCGACCGCCGTCGGGCGGCTGCGACAAAATCGGACACAGATGGTCAGCAGCGCACCAATACAGCAGAACAGCCGCAGTCGAGTGTTACTCCGATTGCTGTAGTAATAGCGTGCGGGACAGTGCAACTTGCAGGCGGCGTTCTACGCTAAAAGTTCATCAGCAGAGCACATCCCCTGCATGGCTACGTGTGTTTGTCAGAATCTCCAACCAGACCGATCAGGTCAGATCAGAAGCCCACAATCAGGTCGAATCGCCTCGCAGTGCGTACTAATGGACATAGGGTGACACAATTAAGTTGATAAGCTCATTAACACAACAGCAGAGCACTCGTAAAGGTGTAACCACACGGATGCCGTAACAACGACAGCAAAACTCCGTCTCCAACAAGCTATCTTGCTCTCTATATACCTGCACTCAAGGACGACGATTCCAGATTTGTCATGGCTATCGACTTAGTTCCCCTGCCTCTCCCCATGCGTACCCTGAGGGTTGAACGAGGTGGGAAAGACGTGCAGCGCCTGCGGCTTCTGGATGAACGTGTACACTTTGATCATGTTGTCGAGCACGGCCACGATGCGGTCGCGGCGAAGCCGCACGGCACGCACGTCGCTGAAGAACTCCAGCTCGATGACGGTCCGCTTCTTCAGGTCATCCCAGATCATCACTGGCGGCAGGTCAGGTCATCCCAGGTCATCCCACGCCAAAGCGGCAGCAGGTCAGCAGCGCTTCAGTCGCCATTGCCGCCGGGAAGCCAAGATCGGCGCCACCATCCCGCCACGTCGAGTGACCACAAATGGTTATCATTCAGCCAGTCATATCGTCGCTGGCCGCAGGCTACATCATCACTCGCCGCGGACCGAGGAGCGTCGTAGGCGCTGCGCGGCAGCTGAGTCAGGTTACAGCCACGTCATGCGTTCCTCGGCACAGGAGGCCACAGACTATCTCATGCGCCACGGACGACACACTTTCACGACATACAGGACCCGTGATTGGCAAGGCACATGACGTGCTGCCTGCCTCCAGAGTTGGAGGAAGTGCAACACACATTCCAAGGGGCATTACATGTGACAGCCAGAGCCTGCGGGACAAACTTGGCCCACGAAGAGGTCGGGTTCACGTATCCCAGGAGCAACAAGGCCAAACATTTCGATCTCCCTTGATCAACATTTTCTTAGTCAACACCACACGTGCGGAGGTGCGGTGGCCCGGGACGCCCGCCAGCTGGTGGGATGCAGCACAAACACACGTGCGGAGGTGCGGTGGCCCGGGACGCCTGCCAGCTGGTGGGGTGCGGTACAAACACACGTGCGGAGGTGCGGTAACCCAGGACGCCTGCCAGGTGGTGGAGTGTGGCACAAACACACGTGCGGAAGTGCGGTAACCCGGGACACCTGTCAGCTGGTGGAGTGTGGCACAAACACACGTGCGGAGGTGCGGTAACCCAGGACACCTGTCAGCTGGTGGAGTGTGGCACAAACACACGTGCGGAGGTGCGGTAACCCGGGACACCTGCCAGCTGGTGGGGTGCAGCACAAACACACGTGCGGAGGTGCGGTAACCCGGGACACCTGTCAGCTGGTGGAGTGTGGCACAAACACACGTGCGGAGGTGCGGTAACCCGGGACACCTGCCAGCTGGTGGGGTGCAGCACAAACACACGTGCGGAGGTGCGGTAACCCGGGACACCTGTCAGCTGGTGGAGTGTGGCACAAACACACGTGCGGAGGTGCGGTAACCCGGGACACCTGCCAGCTGGTGGAGTGCAGCACGAACAGACCTTTGTTGGGCGGGTACTTGGGACTGATGCTGCCGCCCACCAGCGCCACGTAGTTGCAGCGGAAGAGCATCTCGACGCTGCCGACGCCGCCGTCCGGCCAATCCTGGCGTACCTTCTCCTTCAGCGGGTCGCAGTTGTAGATACGGAATCCCGCGTCCGTGCCGCAGGCGAAGCACCCTGGCAGGAACAAGAGATCCCGAGGTTCAATTTTTTGGGACCTCCTTGCTGTTCCTTTTCAGGTACGCAATACACTACTTGGGATATCTAGGGTTCAACTATACCCAATCTCCTTGAAGTGCACGCTTTAGACTTGTTTGTTGCTATCACATGAACTCCATTTTCAATGATTTCCACCTAAATTCAGAAAAGGGAAGGCAGGTCCCTCAACAACATCTGGAAATAAATTGGACTGATCCTGAGACATGTAGTCTCTAGCAAAAGCTTACGAACTGATTTATGTATTAGGCAGAATATTTCCAAACCTTAATAATGACAAGGGGGCAAAATGTGTTGGAAGGGTTAATAAAAAGGAAAAGATATGAGGGTCATGTTTGGGTCAGTGGAAGAAGCAGTACAAGAAAATGTGGGATACTTAGAATGTTGGATACTGTGCATAGCTTTACAACACAAATAGAGCCAAAATGACCATCTTGACCAATGTGTTTCATATCTGTTGGATAAATCAAATATCACTGCTGTATTCAAGATACCCAAAATACATGAAACAAAATGGACATTTGGTGCAATATTGAGATATGATGCACAGATCATAGCAACTAATCTGTTTTTCCAAACATACTATACCTGGCATTGCCCCAGCAACTTTTATCTGTTTTGCACCATTTGGACTCAGCTGTGGTAATGACAACCAACCTATTTAGCCCATCCAGAGAGGTTTGGGTCACAACCCTCTAAACCCCTTCTATTGGTCTAGCCATGCCACCTCCTTCATCTATATCTACGGCAGTTGTGCATTTATCCTTAAATGCATGGCTGAGATCAGGCAACATCCCTTACACAAACAACCAGGAACTGCCTTCAGTGCTAAAACCAATGCGGGTCTATCATGACATTATCTTCCTTACATAGGTCAGCTAAGGGATGTAGCAGACATGGCAGGAGCCACTCCACATGTTACTGGGTCAACACAATTCCATAATTTATTATTGGAAGATTATTCCAAAAGCTTTGCTTTGCCAAGTTTCCCATCATTATCTTTCCCTACCTTGCTGAATACTCTTTCTGCCTATGGCAGCCTTAAGATGTCAACAGGCATGATGAAATGCTACTCTTGATATGTGTAATGATATGAAGTGAGTTTAGTGATTTATTATGCTTCAACAATATGAAACTATCCATCATGGCATGCCCTTCAAAATCCTGGGCCGGACCTGGATCTGTCTCTGGACCTGTCCACAAACAACAAATCCATTGTGTTTCTGATATACTGTCTGTGTGCTGAGTCTTGGCATACACTTGCAGAAAACCTGACCAAGGTCAAATTGTGCTGACATTTCCAAATGTCTTTGCTTGAACATGTCCTGGGAGTAGTTTTTCTTGACATTACCTAAGAAATGTCACAATTCTTTTATATAGCTATTCATACAAAAATGTGCAGCTCATGGCAGTTTAAAAGACAAACCTTTCAGATAACACCATTTCAGAAAAAAACTGCTGTTCACATTGACATAAATAACCAGCTTGAAGTTGATTCCATACAGCCTAATATATTTTATAACCACAGGCTTTCTGCACATACATGGATCAAAAAAACCTTTAGGGTGATTCTAGTAACAGCCAACATAAGTCATGATACCAAAATTTGAGTGACAGGGTAGGAGGGCAGGTAGCAACTTCCCTCTTTCCCCAGGGACATCATGAAATACAGGAGCTGGATGGGGTGCTGAGGCTTCCCTCTAATTTCTGATCATTTCACATTTTCCCTGTGGTTATTGGCTAGATAGACATCACAAAAACTGCTTCATCCCAACCAAATGCTCCACCTTTAACAAAACAATGTCTTATTTACATGACCCATGGCTAGATGAGAGAAGACTGCTCATGCACAGATCAATTTTGCTTCTCTCAGGAGCATAGAAAATAACCTGAACACTCATTAAATACAACCAAAATGTGGCCAGACCTGCCAATGTTGCATTGCTAAGTCGGTAATTTTTTACTTGGGTACCTGTATGGCCGACGGAGGGAAGAGCTACGCTAGCTGCAGGGTTTCGAGTATTGTCGTGCGGGGCAAAAGCTGTGAGGCATCAGCTAACATTGTGACGTCACTGAAAATGGTTTTGCATCGATCGGGATCGGGGTTCTTTCGGGCCGACTGAAGGCCATAAGGCTTTTGCTTGTGATATGATGTCACTGGTATTCGGCTGGGTATGTGACGTCACTGGTCGTGAGTGTGTAAGGCTCTTTTGGGTCCACTGAATGCCGTAATGCATCAGCTGGCCATGTGTCGTCACTGGTATTCGATTGAACATCAGGCGCGGCCGGCCTCGTTCCATCTTTACTTTTCGTACCTGTCTGCTGCAGGCATTTGCGTGCCGCATAAAGGTTTGACCGAATTACCCCAATGTGTGACGTCCCTAATCATCACTTCATACGAGTGCACTTAGGCCCCACGACCACGGTGTGTCGTGGTCCGCGAAGTATCACCGGATAGCGTGACGTCACTGGTATTCGAATAAAAACTGGGCGCAACAGGCCGTGCTTCATTTTTACCTTTGTACTTGTCTACTGCAAGCATTGGCATGCTGGATGAAAGCTGCCGAACCACCTGAGTGTGTGACATCACTGGCCATGAGTTCCAACGGTGCTTTTCGGCCAACTGAAGACCACAAGGTGTCAGCTAACGACGTCACTGCTATACGACTGTAAGACGTCAATGGCCGTGGGTTTCCACGGGCCCTATAGGACCGACGAAATGCCGTTAGGCATCAGCTGGCGATATGACGTCACTGGTATTTGGCTGAACATCAGGCAACAGGTCATGCTCCATTTATACCTTTCGTACATGTCTGCTGCAAGTATTGGCGGATTTTTTGTGCGGCCAACTGGAGACCATAAAGCATCAGCTAACGATGTGACGTCGCTGGCACTCGACTGTGCGTGTCGCTGGTCATGAGGTTTTACGGCCTCTTTTGGGGCGACGAAAGGTCATACGGCAATGACTGAAGATGTGACGTCACTGGTATTCGAATGAACTTCGGGCGCGACAGACCATGTTCCACCTTTATCTTTGGTACCTGTCCATTCAAGCATTGCCGTGGAAGGCTCTGCCAAATTACCTGAGTGTGTACGTCACTGACCATTAACTTGCACACTCTTTTGAGCCTACTATGGGCCACAAGGCATCAGCTGACGATATGATGTCACTGGGTTTCGACTAGACATCATGCGCAACAGGCCATGCTCCATCTAAGCCATGTTTCGTCTGTACCTTTCGCACCTATCTACTGCAAGTATTCGCGCGACACAGGGGCTCTGCCGAATTACCTTAGCGTGTGGTGTAACTAGTTATGAGTTAACGCGGGTTTACTCTGGCTGACTGAAGGACATCAAGCATCAGCTGACGATATGACGTCACTGGTATTCGACTAAACTCCAGGCGCGACAGGCCATGTTCCATCTTTACCTTTCGTACCTGTCTCTTGGAAGTATGGGCGTGCTGAATGAAGGCTCTGTCGAGTCTCCTGAGTAAGTAACGTCACTGGTCAAGAGCTTTTTACGGGACCTTTTGTACCCCCAAACGGTATAATGCATCAGCTGATGATATGACGTCACTGGTGTCCGACTTAACATCAGGCGCGACAGGCCATGTTCTATCTTTACCTTTCGTACCCGTCTATTACAAGTATTGACGTGCTGAATGAAGGCTCTGTCGAGTCTCCTGGGTGTGTAACGTTACTGGTCATGAGTTTTTTCTGGCTCCTTGGAACCCTCTATAGGGAAAAATGCATCAGTTGACGACATGATGTGAATGGTGTTCGACTTAACATGAGGCGTAACAGGTCATGTTCCATCTTTGCCTTTCGTACCTGTAAAGTATTGGTGCGTTAAATGATGGCTCTGCCGAGTCACCTGAGTGTGCGACGTCACTGGTCATGAATTTTTACCAACTATTTTTGGCTGAGCGAAAGCCATAAGGCATCAGCTAACGAAATGACGTCACTGGTAATCCACTGAGTGTGTGACGTCACTGGTCATGAGCTTTTACGGGCCTTTTTTGGCCGAGTTCAGGTCATTAGGCATCAGATAACGTTATGGCGTCACTTGTATTCGAATTAACATCAGTTGCAATAAGCCATGTTTCATCTTTACCTTTCGCACCTGCCTACTGCAAGTATTCGTGCGCTACAAAAAGGCTCTGTCGATTCGCCTGAGCGTGTGGTGTAACTGGCCATGAGTTTGTGCAGGTTTACTCGGGCTGACTGACGGACATCAAGCATCAGCTGACGATATGACGTCACTGGTAATCGACTAAACTCCAGACGAATCATCTGAGTGGGTGACGTCGCTGGTCGTGAGTTCATACGGATTCACTTGGGCCGCCCAAGGCCACAAAGCAACACCTCCCGTGAAGCATCACAGGATGATTGTCGTCACTGTTATTCGACTTAACATCAGGTCCAACATGCCACGTACTTTCTTTACCTTTTGTACTTGTTTATTAAAGGTATTGACGTGCTGAATGAAGGCTCCGTCGAACCTCCTGAGTGTGTGACGTCACTGGTCACGAGTTTTTTACGGGCTCCTTTGAACCCATTTTAGGTTATCATGCATCAGCTGACGACATGACGTTACTGGTGCTCGACTAAACATCAGGCGCAACAGGTCATGCTCCATATTTGCCTTTCGTACCTGGCTGCTGCAAATATTCGCGTGCTATATGAAGGCTCCGCCGAATCACCTGAGTATGTGACGTCACTGATCATCAGTTGGTAGGAGGTCACTTGGCCACCTACGGCTACGGAGTTCCGCAGCAGAGGTGGGAGATGCACCATAGTTAAGCACACTAATTTTATTGTGCGCACCATTAAGTAACAACTTCAAACGCAACGGGCTGTTTCAACGACTAAAATTTTGAACAAACGTAAACACAAAACAAAGGTGATCCCAGCCCACAAACCGACGTATATGCAACGCTATTCCGCCCGACATCACAGGATGCGCCCCTGAGCAGCTACGGTCCGGAATGCCCTGATGGCTAAATAATAACCAAGGGCGCCGCCTAGCGGCCATAAGTTTGGGCCACAGCCCGAATATCAGTGACGTCATATGGTCAGGTGATGCTTGATGTCCTTCAGTCAGCCCGAGTAAGCCCGTGTAAACTCATGACCAGTTACACCACATGCTCAGGTGATTCGGCAGAGCCATCATTAGGCTCGCCAATACTTAAACAGGTGCGAAAGGCAAAGATGGAACATGACATGTTGTGCCTGATGCTAAGTCGAACACCAGTGACATCATATCGTCAACTGAAGCATTATACCATATAGGGGGTTGAAAAGAGCCCGTAAGAACTCTTAACCAATGACGTGATATAACACGCGAATGCTTGCAGTAGACAGGTACGAAAGGTAAAGATGGAACATGGCCTGTTGCGCCTGATGTTGAGTCGAATACCAGTGACGTCATATCATCCCGCGATGCTTTACAGGATATGATGCTTAATTGCATTGGGCTGCCCAAGTGAACCTGTATAAACTCATGACCAGTGACGTCACGCACTCAGATGGTTCAGCATCACCTTGATATAGCACGCGAATGCTTGCAGTAAACAGGTACGAAAGGCAAAGATAGAGCATGGCCTGTTGCGCATGACACCTAGACGAAAACCGGTGACGTCATATGGTCAGCTGATGTGGTATGGCTTACAGTGGGTTCAAAACAGTCTATACAAATTAATGGTTAGTGACGTTACACACTCAGGTAATTCGGCAGACCCTTCCTTCAGCATTCAAATACTTGCAATGGACAGGTACCAAAGGCAAAGATGGGGCATGGCCATGGCCGCCTGAATTGTATTCGGATACCAGTGACGGCACATCTTCAGTTAATGTAGTATGACCTTTCATCGGCCCAAAAGAGGCCGTAAAATCTGATCACAAGTGACATCACACACAGTCGAATGCCAGTGACGTCACATCATTAGGCTATGCTTTACGGCCCTCAGTTGGCCCCCAAAGATCCATAAAAATGCATGACCAGTGACGTCACACACTCACGTGATTTGGTAGCTTTTATTCATCACGCCAGTGCTTGCAGTAGACAGGTACGAAGCTAAAAATGAACCTTGACCTGTTGCGACCAATATTTAGTCGAATATCACTGACGTCACGATACCCAGCGATATTTCACGGAACATGATACACCGCGGCCGTGGGGCCTAAGTGCACTCGTATCAAGTGATGATTGGTGACGTCACACATTCAGGTGATTCGGTCAAGCTTTTATTCGGCACGCAAATGCTTGCAGCAGACAGGTACGAAAGGTAAAGATGGAATAAGGCCCGTTGCGCCTGATGTTTCATTGAATACCAGCGACGACATATCGTCAGGTGATGCTTTACGGCATTCATTGCACCCAAAAGAGCCCTAAAGCCTCACAACCAGTGACGTCACATATCCAGTCGAATACCAGTGACATCATATCGCTAGCAAATGCCTTGTAGCCTTCAGTCGGCCCAAAAGAACCCAGATCGATGCAAACCCATTTTCAGTGACGTCACTACGTCGGCTGATACCTAACAGCATTTCTCCATCATGGCAGTACGGGAACCCTGCAGCCAGCGTAGCTCTCTCCCCACCGTCGGCAATACAGGTACCCAAGTAAAAAAAAGCCGCTAAGTCTGCGCTAGTAACATGTTGAATACCGACGTCCACGTCACCGAGAATATGTCATGTAGTCACAAGTGTAGGACAAATTATTTCCTCACCTTGGTCCTGATTAAATGCAGAAAACAGCAACCCATTTGAGTGGGGTGGATTACAGTTCATACTCATCTTAGGCGGGAGAGGAACACCCGCAAATGCCGCGACCAATGCTACGAACAAATATTGGCCCGTCCCACGCAAGTTGGTAAGTTGTTACACGATTAAACGCTCAAACTAGTCCTGATCACCCAGCCACACCTCAAGGGATATCTTTTGCGCACATCCAATGACGTGCTCCTGCATATCCTTTCCCGTGAACCCTTTATTGGCCCAACCACACAAAAGCACGCCCGGCCGTCCCCCAGCTCTCTGCCCGATGCTGATGTAAACAAATGCGACATCCAAGGCCATGCGTAACGGCTCGCACGTTTTCGTGCTAAAGTGCTGCCTTATATTTGCATTCCCCAATGAACCTTAAAGTTCGGATCAGTGGCAGATACTTTCTGCTTAGACATTATTCCATCATCATAACACGATTTGCATCTATCAACAGCTTTGACTAGGTTGAAATAGTGAGATTTTCGCCATTTGGTTTAGCTGGCAGTCCCGCGAATCTGCGGCGCAAACGCCGCGACCTCGCCCCGGCCACCAATGCATCAATCATGATGGCCCGCTGGCTCCCGCAGACCTGAACTCAAAGCTATTCACAAACAAAACATTGTAGGCGAATGATGTGTCAAACACTTTATTTCGAATGACCAGAATATGTCAGCGGGTCAAACTCGATTAGGCGATGCAGTTTGGGCAGGCCTGTCAGCACTCTTCCAACTCATCCCAGTACTGTTTCCAAGACGCGACGACCGGTGTATCCGCCCCACTTCATACCTGGAAGAGGAACCGTACTCCGGTCCTTTCCCACCAGCATAACCTGGTGCCAGCTTGCACGCCTCATCCATGCCCCATGTTCGATGAACACCCGAGGACCAATTGGCCTTACATCGTTGTTCCCACTGACAAACCAACCTTAAGCATTGGCTCCAGCCGATCGCCTGCTCCCAATCTTTCAATCCACCTGGCCAGCTTCTGCCATTATGCCCGGGCGCTTCAGCCTCCGTCACAAGCAGAAGACTCTTGCATACCTTCCGTCAACACAGAAACCCAATTGCCGCCTGTTTCGATGTTTATTGAGTAAAACCGAAAACTTCCCCGGAGGCGCTCTCCTCTGCAATCAGAAACGAGAGCACGCCACGGCGACCTCCCCCCACGACGTTTCAGCGAACGTTTCCAGCGCTGGTGGCGGACGCATCTTCAAAGCCAAATCTCCACGGGTCATGAGGTCACAATTTCTCGCCCACGACAGTGACTCGTCCACTCACTGCAACAAAGAAACTTCTCCACAGGGCTATGGCGCAGCTCGGCACCATGATGCCCTGGCAACGGCCCGGCCTTGAGACACGTGCGCGCGCCGCGCGTGCGTCACCGGCAGCCGCATTGCGACAACGGAACCTGACGACACGAGAAGTCACGTCGCGTGTACCGACAGGCGTCACAACACTGGGCGCGCACCCCCGGTCTTCGTTTTTAAAGCGGGCAAACGCGACGCATGTTCTGCTATTCTGCGACACTATTCTGCGGAACGCCGGCGACAGCAGACCACAGCGCCCAGCAGCCTTCGCACAACCGTGGTTCGCACCAGGGCCCCATCGTAGGAGCCGAAGGTGTCAATCACTAGGCCATCGCACCTCACTCTTCTGCGTCGTCTTCCTTCAGCCGCCAGGCGACAGCTGCGCTGCACAGACAGCCGAAACACGAGCGCTCAAACGCACCCCGCCACCTTCCACGCATCAGCCGAAACCATGAGGACGGCACGACAGCATAAGCCTCCCAGAGCGGGCGCCGGCTGATGCTAACAGGCCGGATGAGAGAATCACGCACCGCAGAATTTAGGCTCACCGCCCGACGTCCGGTGCGAACAGACGGCCGCAGGGACGTACGAGACGGGGGAGAGGGGGGGGGGGGGGGGGGCAACAGCGCCGCAAAACAACTCCCTGATCGGACATCGCACGCCTGCCGGGAGGCCTCCAGTCATCTAAGCGCCCTCGCCCGACCCGAGCGGACCGCCTGGCCAACTCTGGCTGCCGGTCAGACGACGCGACAGCGCTCCTGGATACGAATGACGTGCATCCCACGGTCAGCGCTCCAACAGGCAGATCCGTGCGGTGCGGTCATTGCGCCATCTTGACGGGGGCGGCAGTGGGCGATGATCACCGCACCCCACACCCTAACGAGTGCCGTCATGTCTTGCCCCCGCGGGAGCGGCATGTTCGCGGCAGCATCCTGCACTGGTTCACAGCATACCTACACTGAAAGAGAACGTTAGTGGTCGTCGAGCTCCACTCGCCGATGGCTCCTCTTACAGCACGCAGCCTGGTTTCGTTAGCTGGCCGCACGGCACCATGCGCAGTCCCACTCAGTGCTTGACGGCTGTTGCCATGGAGACGGGTCGGACTGCCAGGTGGGAACGGCACGTCCCGGACAGCCTGGCTCTGTCCGAGGACGGAGGATACCGCGACAAATCAGCCAACCGCCACTGTGCACTGCGAAAAAGGGTGGAATTCAGGCTATCAAGCAACCGTTGACCCTCCTCGGGAAAATGAGCTGGAAAAGGAACAGGCGTTCACGCCAGGCATTCATCGAGACTGATCGAATTGGCAACACAAACACCAATACTCGGGATTAAGGTTTGCACGCATGCAGGCATCGAAACAAAAAGGGCCGACTTCGGCAAAGGTCCGGTTTTTTTACGGCCAGTATCCTATCTTACGTTTCAAAAAAGGGATCATTCGGATGATACAGCAGCACGGACGGCACGACCAGCTGATAATTCGGTCGCGGCGGAGTACGTTTGATGCGCGTACAACTACGTGCATACGGCGTCGCCAATGTTACGCTAAACTCCAAGACAAAAGCGGCTGGAGATCATGCGAGGCCGACCCACGGTATGACCTCACGTGCACGCCCGAAAGCTCCGAAGTCACTGGATTCTCGCCCCCTCCATCCAGTGGCGCTACTACAGCTACACGTGCAACGCCTCAATCACACACTCATCTCTTCCCGTGCCAATCCAACCAGCTCTGCGTTCACAGGTCCGCACACAAGCATGCAGTCAGGCGACAGCCCTCGAGAAGTCATGCAGATAGTTCATGGCTGAGGCCGACGGGGCCCTTTTAGTAACAGCATTGCACATAGACCCCAGATCAGGGCGGCAACGGTGCTGTCAGCTGCAATCAGGGACAGGCAAGAAGAGGCTCCCAAACGCACAGATCTCACCGACCGTCGTGTCAGGATCCATCAGTATGCCACGCGCACCCAAACTGAGAGTTCATGCATCGGTAACTTGTCGGAAACCAACCAATCTCATACACAACACTGAGACCTGGTCGCCAAATTTCATCTGCGGAAGGGTCTGTGTGTGACTGGCGGAACCGCACCCAAACACGTTTCGCAGACCGCGGGCGACAAACAGATTATTTTATGTTCCAGGATGGCCAGCATGCCCCTGCAACTCAGAGATCATCACCTCACAGAACTCGGCTGCCGCACTACGTTCGGCATGATCTTCGGATTTTGATCTGGACTGCTTAATCCAGTCAGTCCGATCCAATGCAATCACAAATTCGCGAGTACACAAGCATCCCGTTCAAACATAGGAAAAGGAACCATCAAACAACCCTTACTGGTAAAAACCTGTCGCCCCCACGTTGTAAAGATTTGGTTCGCCGAACGCATTACCGTCCCGACAGGATGCTATTCCACACTACGGAACACCAACTCCATCTCCTCGACTTCATCTGCGGTTAGACCACATTCGGGCCGACTGAAGCCCTCCAGCACACTCTACATACAATCCATCAACAAGACGGAAATAAATTTTCTGGTTGACGTGGTCCAATTGGGGGGTCGGCCTCACTTTACACGGGCAGAGCGGCGCCTTGGCGCTGCGCCAGCACCGACCGCGGATGTTGGCACCAGCCAGGAACGGCAGGCCCATCCCAGTCAGCTCGAAAATTCAGTCGAACCTCACGGTTCCCTGGAAGTCTGATGCTCGCTTCCGGCCCCGCATAGAAAACGGCGGCAGATAAAAAGGACGCATCTGGGTTCGTACGCCCATGGACTCCACGGAACCAATTTGCGGTTCATCACGGGAAGATCCATGTTATGACGTTTCGTCGCAGAGAGCAAAGCGTATCATCGAATGTCCTGCACCAAGAGTCCTCCAGTAAAATTTGCATACTGGATAACCACATCAACCTCGGACATCTTCGATCCTATTCACCACGTCCGATAAAGATCCCCTCCCTCTGCAACCGCACAGCCTGAGCTCACCCCGGAAGAGACTTCTTCTATCAGTTCGGACTCTTTCCAGCCGGACTAAGAACTCCTCATTATCAACCTCCTACAACTGAACTCCCGCCCCGGTTGCCAAAGCACCAACCTCGGTCCGACCTGATCCTCGGAATTTAGCACCACCGTTGGGCCCCATGGCAACTGCCAGTTGACCAGATATCTTCAGATCGACCTCACGCTCTTGCCTCCCACTGCGTGCCGAATCCCATCCCATCAACATCAGTCTAACCGTCGTGCGCCATTGGGGCTTTACGACACACTCAGCTGCTGAGGCTATATGGCACTTGCCAGGCGCGCAGTGGTTAGCGCAGACGCGTTAACCACCGCGAGTCTGAGAAACCGGAGATACGGGGTTCGAATCCGCGCGATGCCCGCTCTTCCTCCCAGGGTGAGAGGCAGACGCCATATAGCCTCAGCAGCCGAGTGCCGAGCGGTTCGTCGTCGTAAAGCCCCAATGACGACGATATCGGCACACGAAACCTGCTTCTATGCGCCCTCCTGTCCACTCTCTCCCACAATCCAGACGTTTTGAACCACCCAACCCCAGCGAACAATGCCCACCGTGCTCTCCCTCAACTCAAGTCACGCACCCTCCTCCCCAAATCCAATGACCAACCTTGTTCACCTCACGTAATACGCGCGCCCCTACCCCCACCCTCCCCATCAAGCCTCCTTCATAGGTATGGGATTCCCAGTTCACCGTCGCACACCCCCGTATAAAGATGCATCCTGCAGGCGCTCTTTTGGTACCTACTCCCCACCCGGTCAGACGTTATCCCATAGTCACCAGACCTCAGATACATTGAATCCCTGGCCCCTCCTCCCGGCAACAAAGTCACAGAAGGCCGCTTCCCGGTTGACTTTTGGGCACAACGCCACGCGGACGAGCCCACCCACCAAACCCGCTACTCGCCCCTTCCCCCTCCCGGCTTGCACGCGCCTCCTGGCTCCCATCTTTGCGGTAGCCCCCTAGAGAGGACCCCCTAACCCCTACAGGCGTGCCCGGGCTAGCCCAGCCCCGCCCCGGCGAGTCGTCTCCGCCGTCCAGGATCGGCCGTCGCCACCGCCGGCTGGGCTGGGCTGCTCTGCTCTGCTCTGGTCCCCGGCTGGGCTGCTCGCCGCCTCGCCCACCACGCGCCGCCTCAAGCTGCTCTGCTCTGCTCTGGTCCCCGGCTGGGCTGCTCGCCGCCTCGCCCACCACGCGCCGCATCAGGCTGCTCTGCTCTGCTCTGGTCCCCGGCTGGGTCGCTCGCCGCCTCGCCCACCACCGCGTCACGCCGCCGCCCGGTCAGCTCAGGTCAGCTACTCAGGTCACGCCCAGCTCAGCTCAGCTCAGCTCAGCTCAGCCCATATCTCCGACAGACCGCGACACAGCAACAGCACACTGCCGCGCGCCGTCTGCCAAAAACAGGGCCATGGTTAAACGGGCGGTACTGACGGCTTTTATTACGGAAGACATTCGCAGCCACACACGCAAAAAAAACACCGATACGCTAATCAAGGCTCAGTACTAGAGCCAGAGCGAGGGCTCAGCGCCAAGAGCGATGCCAGTGGCGGTGCCACAAAGCACATTGTCTCGGTGCTGACAAAGGGATAGACAATGACGGCGATGACGTCAGACGATGCGTGAAGTACACGAGGGAACAGCATCTCCCAAAAGTTAGTGTCCGGAGTTTATCGAAAACGGGCATAGTGGGTGCTATCCGACAAGGGAGGATGGAGGCACATAGCAAGCATACGAGGCAGAAAGGGACGTGCGGCTTAGCACACCCTTATGTGAAAAAGACGAACTTTATACAAGAACCCAACGATGTTTCCGGTCGACATTACGGCAGCTAGCGACTTTTCCATGTATTTACACCAGACCTCGAAAGCCTACGTGAACACCGAACGAAACGCGCCCCGATGAGCAATTCGAACACCGAATGAATGATCCACACACAAACCGCGTACACACACACATGGATACCACCAAAGAAGGCGGGGCCGCGGCAGGGGCCAATCGCGGAGGCGGGCGCCGGGGGCGCGGCCGGCCCCGATTGGCCCCCGCCCGGCCGCCGCCCGGCTGCCGTCAGTACCTAGTCCGTGCACCGCACGAGGCGTCCCGAGAGCGCCGGCGCGCCGCGGCCGGCCCGGCTCGCCGCTGTCAGCCGGCGCGGGCGCGCCTACTCCCTGCCGGCGGAACAGGCCATTGTCAGCCGGTGATACACACCACACGCGCCCGTGCCTGTTAAGTTCAGACTTTTAGTACCTCCGTGTCGAATTGTTGCAATCTGCAGGGAGTGGACACAACAGAAAAAATCACGGACATTACATGTACGATGATAACAGTTATATTATCCCATAATGTAGAGTGGGCTGTACCACGCGCTTAAGACCAGACGGGTGACGAGCCACGGGGGCTGACCGCCACCCAGAGCAAGAGAGCACAGGCCGCACCTCGAGCGAGACCGGGGGCTGAGCCCCACCCAGAGCCAGCGAGCACGGGCCGTACCTGGAGCGAGACCGGGAGCGCGATGCTGATCGGGAGCGTGATCGGGAGCGGGAACGAGAGCGGGCCGGCTCGCCGCCGTCGCCGTTGTTCTGCGGAGGCTCGGCTTCGCCGGCCTCGTTATCCTCTGGCGCCTTCTTGCGGTCTGGGGACTTGCTGTCGCGGGGGGACCTGTGGCGGGCGACGGCGGCGCGTCAGCAACGGACGAACGGCCACACGACCCCAATCAGTGGCAGCACACGGCATCACAGGAGCCGGCCCCGTGGCCGTCTGACGATCCCTTTTCACACTCCAGCGACTATGAACACGTGAGGCACTAGTTTGGGACTGCAAGGACTTCAATACGCGCAAGTCATGCTTTTCTGAACCTAATGATAACTCAAAGGCATCAGTTATCCATCCAAAAGCAGTGCGTAGGTGTTGTGCGAGCAAACGAACGTGTCACGCCCTGAATTGAGTCTGAGTTTGACGGACTTTGAAAAAAAATGAAATTGAGAATATCACAGGTGACTGCTAAAAGTCCCCCATTTAGAAATTCCGTCAAACTTAATATGACTGCTCAAAGGGACATCAGATCACAAGTAGAGGAGCTATGAACTATAATTACCCAGCACACCCAAAAAAAAAAAAAACTACTGCAGCAAGCTGCAACAAGACAAGACAACGCGTCACTACCCTGGTAGAACAAACACCAATGGCGTCTTAGCCGTCCCAAGATCGGCAGCCAGAGGCGGTTATCGATAGTCGGCGGCGCCCGTCCGGCCACCCGCCGACCCGTCCCGGCCGCGGCCTCACCTGCTGCGACTGCGGCTGCGCGTGCGGCGGTCCCGGCTCTTGCTGCGCGAGCGGCTGCGGCTGCGGCTGCGCCGGCGACTGCGGCTGCGCGAGCGGCGGTCGCGGTCCCGGCTGCGGCTGCGGCTGCGCGAGCGCGAGCGGCGGTAGCGGCGCGCGCCGCCGCCGCGCCGGTCCGGCGGCGTCATGGGCCGCGCGTAGCGCGCCATCTGGACGCGCAGTTCCCTGCCGTCGTACATGCGGCCGTCCATGGCGTCCATCGCGTCCTCCGCGTCGCGGCGGTCGTAGAACCTGGCGGAGGAGGCCAGGCGTCAGGCGCGGCCACGGCCCGGAGGCGGCGCGCGTTCCCCGCACCACCACACACTCGGGACGGCGCCGTGCAGCGCGCGTTGGAACGACGGGATCGCGAAGGTAATTGCGTACTGGCGGCAACGTACTGCCCCAGAACAACGGTGTTGGCAGTCGCGGCTGGGCAAAGCTGAAGCTTGACAACATCCCTTATTTATGGCTCGCGCCTTATACAAATCAACGCCAATGCGTCACTTCGTAACGGAACGTTTACCCACCGGCCTCTGCCATCCAATCCGAACAAAACGAGTCCAGGTCCACAGACAATGACAAATTCATAAATTTTTACCAAATGACATTTCATGATCCAAGCAGCATGCCTTCTACTAGGGTGCCGCTACAAAAAATCCAAATAAACCGCGACCGCCTGGAGAGGCGTACGGATAATCCCACTGCGCGTTTCAGAGAAAACTACCCAACCATGTTAGATACGTCCACCAAATTTCGAAGCGTGATCAATACGACAAATTCTGTAAGCATTTTTTCTGATACACCAGTTTCGTTCCACTTAAAATGGCGTTGTTCTGGCTTCCACCCATTGTTAACAGCAGCTGGCTTCTGCTTCGGTTTCAAGCAAGTTTAAATTGTTGGTTCAGTTTCAACTTAATGCAACCCTAAGCTCATGCTTTCAAGTTTTCGGGCTTTTTTCACTGCAGTCGCGACTGCACGTCACAAAAGTTCCCCGATTATTGTGTGGTCCCGAACAGTTTTGGCAGACGGAAAACATCATAAAGGTTTCAAAGGCACCATTGCTCACTAGAATTCAGCTCTGGTCTTGCAATTTAAGCTGATCAGTTTGGGTTTGGCTTTATGTTTCTTGAGTTCGAAGCCCCTGATGTCCGCCTCCCATTTCGGCTTCGCGTGTTTGAGGTCTGAGGTTTGAGGCACTGGCTTCAGATTCTGATCCACAATGAAAAATACAAAACTAATGGCTCTGGCTTTGGTTTCTTACTTTAAGTCCCAAAGCATCAGCTTCAGGTCAGGCTTCATATCAGTGTGTTGACATTAGAATGAGCTTTGAAGCCAGAAGTTGCTGTTCAAGTTGCAAGTTGCTGTTCTCACCATGCCAGTGTTGTTGTTTGAGGTTTAATTTTGCAACTAACAAGGGCCACATTAGAAAACTGTCAATTGATAAGGATTTGTTACATTTATTGGTGTTCCAGGGCATGTCTAATACAATGCTCAATCAGAAAACAGAAGAACTGTGATAATCTTTCATTCAAGATGAAATCATGGAGCTCGCAACACTCACTTCAACCAATAGCACAGCTTCAAGTTTTAGTGTGATGAGAAGTGCAACTACTCTGGGCAGCTGCCAACAGACAATCGTGAAACTGGATGGAATATGTGAACTAGTGCCTTTTTGGAGATGGAGTTATTTATGCTATTTGATGTAGCTCAAGAACTACATATTGAAATGTAAAAAACTGACAAAATTATATACAAAAAAATCAATTTATTGTTCTAAGCACACAAAGTTGTTTCACTTTGCAAAACATGAGACACCTAACAATATGCTGGATGATGCCACATGCTTTTGCTTTAAAATGGTAGAATAATGATCACCATGATGAGCCAGATCTGTCATCCCTTTTGCCAAAAAGACTACATCATTAACACAAGACTGGGTGATCATTTCAATACTCTTGGCTCTAGTGGGGGAGAGGACAATTTGAACCCCCTGAAATTTCAGAAACCACAACATCCAGACACCAAATTCACAGAGTGGTTCTGCCTCCAAGCAAACTCAATTGTGTGTCACTTGTTACTTCACTACAACTTCAACTTAAGTTTGGTAAGGTTCAAGTTATGTATAAGTAATAAAGTTTAAAGGCAATGTTTCACATTTGAAGGCACTGAAGCAAGCACCACATGTGATGAAATATGCTCATTTAAACATCTAGTTGTTTTTATGGGCAAATGACTTCTCTACACAAAATTTCACAGATATATACACTTCTCCACCATATGTCAGTTTGATCATGTCATTAACATCTTGATGATGTCAGAGGTGCTGCCACACTGGCTGTGACATAACTGTCACTGTTGCAATGGGCCAACTCACTTGCAGTACATGCTGGGAGATGGTGGCATTTGCTGAGAGCATGTGCTTAAACTCAAAGATCATTATGCACTTGTGTTTTGGCCTTTCCTCATATTCTTGCATATGTCTGATATTTTATCTTTCTCACTTGCATTCACATGCCCCATTCAGGCACTATTCTTATAGGGAGTGTTCAATAGTTATATGGGGTCTTGCAGTAAAGAAGCCATCTTGGAGACCATTCAGTGCAATCACAGCCCTTTTCTTAAGAGCTCAGTCCCTCTAGTCTCTGGGCTACACACCCACAAAGATGGGGAGGCTATTTCTGGGAGGGCATTTCTGATCACTGGCATTCACATCATGTCACTAAAATGCTGCCATTGTGTAAGCACTGTAGCAATTAATGCAAAACATAATACCATGGCTGAATCTTTCATATTTAACATTTGTGGGCTAGCTTTCCAGACATAATGGTCATCACTTAGCTCTTAATCAACATTGCGAAGGTATGGTGACAAAATTAAACACTGAAGTACTGAGGAGTATTTTTACTAAAGAAACTGTGTTGTCTTGAGCAGTCTTTTACACTTGTTTTGTTGTATCTGATGCTCGATTCAGTGTCTCCAAATGTGAAACATTCCTTTTGAGTCAGTTGACCCTCAATCATATCTAAATCCTATCTTGCAACAGGGTTCAAATTCCTGTATTGTGAACACCAAACATGATTTGTATTAAAAATTTGCACTCAATGCCATAAATAGGCTGAAAGTCAAGTGATACCAGGCCAAGAAACAGGAGTAATAAAGATGAAATATATGAAAAAGATAAACTAGTAACTATACCAAGTGCTCATCAAAATGGGTATCACAGTTCAAAACCTTAAATAAATCAGAAGCACTTGCTTGAAGGTGCTTAAGACATGCATTAGTCAAGTTTGAGTCATAATAATTTAAAGCATTCCACATCTGTACACAGTAAGGGATGAACATGGCCATCTTGAAGATCATTCAACATTCAAGGAAGTCCACAGCCATGTCCTTTTTGTGATGCAAAACCCTCCTGCCTGAGCATGATGCCTACAAGCATTTTGTAACTATTTCAATGTCCCCCAGGCACACCATCACATCAGACAAATGTCACATGAATGCTGCCATCCCAATAAACCAATAAAACCTGCACAAATAAACCATGATCAAGTGAGTTATGCCTGACTTACATCAGCAGATTTGCAGCACTAATGGATGACAATAGCATCCAACTGCCCCCAATTTAGTAGAAAATGTCAGTGAGTCATGACCACAAATCACGTTTTGAGCTTCATAACACCAAAACTTGAGCAGCAATAATGGTAAAAGCATGCACACATCATGATACTCAAATAAATCAGACAAATCCTAGCAAACTGCACCACCTCTCAGCAAGTTGAAGTGCTAAAGGTGAGTCAGCCCCTACAACAGGAAAGCCTGACGTGGCAAGCCCGGCAGGATCTCTGATACAAAAATTGCACAAGCCAATTAAATAATACTGACAAACATACTTTTACTGAATAATGGAATTCAGTTGCCTACAGGAGTCCTCTGCACAAGACTGCTATAGTATTTGTATGCCTACAACACACCAATAGACACAAATGAACTCCTTCAATCACCTCTGAAACTTGCCTCAACATCTTAAAATATGGAAGATATCTGTCAAAAGAGAATTATGTGACTCCCAAAAATTATGTGCATGATTTTCATTAAGAAAGAAGCATCTATAATGAATTTATGGCCAACAACCTTCCTTACAGCCACAATGAGAATGGCCATGGCAAGTACTCCTGAAAATAGATGGTTAGAAGTACAAAGACCCACCTTTAAACTCAACACCACGAATGTCAAAACACAGGATGACCGATCCCATCATGGGATGATCACAAGACCAACAGCAGCCACAGAAATAAACTTCAAAACCTTACCTCACGAATGCAAAGCCTCTGCTTTCTTTGTTATATCTGTCTCGTGGAATGTAAATATCTCCGATCTCGCCATATTTTTCAAAAACTCTCCTCATATCTTCTGGTCTTGTACGATATGTGATGTTGTCTACTTTTAGTGAAACCATGCGCTCGATGGCCGGAGGAGGCCTCCCGCCAAAAGACATCTTGCCAGCCTACTGAGGAACAGCGAATGAAACGAACACAAAACAAACTTGCGGTAACAAAACAAAACCTCAACTGACGGCACCCAATCCCAGCAAGCTTGAACAACAACAATCTGTAATATTACGGGCCCCAACGCGCACCTCCCCGACGCCGGCCGAACGACGCCACGCGGGCCGACAATATGGCGGACAAAATGAAAGGCACGCCGTCATCTTGCCTGACGACAGTTGGAACAAGGCAGCTAAATTCTTACAGACGTTTCTTCAGTTGACTTTTGCTTTGCGGTGTGGTAAAAATAATGTAAAAATTTATTAATCTGCTGTAAAGCTGAATAAAGTTTTCATTGACCCCTTCAAACTACGCTATGTTAAAAACAAGTTAGGGAAAACTACAAGCAGCCTGCTGAAATATTCATATTTACGTCTCAAATTGCGATGCAGTTTAGAGCTCGTTAAAATTACGTGGCAAAGTTGTGTGTAACAAATTGTGTTTAATCGACTGGCATTAATACAACAATATTTTTTGCTCCGACTTACAATGCACATTCGCGTCGTTCATCAGTTTTCTTTTTGAGTACTTTTAACAGGTCGGGTTTAGAGCGCTACTAAATTATGAGTACACGATGGTAGCCTGCCAAAAATTCAAAACCCAAGAAGTCAAAAGACAAGAAGTCAAATGACAAAATGTCGCGCAGGATAAAATTCAAACGCCAAAAAGGCAACAATGCAAACAGCGAAAAGGGCAAAAGGTTTAGTGGCACAAGGCCAAAAAAATCAGAAAAAGATATTGAATATAAAATGTTAAAGGGATGAGACCCAACAGGGTTAAAGACGACGGGAACAATAAGCGTACCACTTGTCTCTCATTCCCCTTGTAGCTTTTCCCACTTGGACGCAAAAGGGGAACGACAAGTTTAAGAAACCCAAGTCAAAATAAAAAAGTACCTGGGAGTTCTGCAGCAAGCAAGCTTAAAAATTATCGTCCATTGCGCGAGGCATTTTCAGCTTAAATCCAGGGAACGTGATGACCTCTGCACAGCCACGAGGCCTTTGCATTTTATTTACGTTCAGGGTGGACCTCCTCTATATGTGAGCATGGCCGTTTGCACGCCTGCAGGGACCCTTTAGTTGTGAGTGTAGTCAGTGACGGCTCAACAGGGAGGGAGCAAGGGGGCTGCCACCTATCCCCATAATTGAGCTAATGCATCCAAATTCGTGTTTCCGGCCCTTTCTGCAAGTCATAAAGTTGACCGAGGCTTCTACACTAAATGTTTCTTCTTAGAGAACCCACGGAAAGCCAAGTAGATTATTCCATCTCAATATCTACCCATGCAATTCCAAAAACTTTATCATTTTGTCGGACAGCTCAATAAAACCAGCCGAATACTTTTATAGCAACTGCCGCTTTTTACGAATTTAACTTGTTCAATCAAAAAATTAGTTACTTACAGACAACAAGCTCCGTTTACAAATTTTAGCAGGTATCTTAGGTCTGACACTTGTTTTCTTTAATTGGTCTGAGTAACCCAGCAAATGTGGTTATCTACGACTTCCCAAAACCCGAGATGACCGAGAAACGTGACATGCACTTTCTGCAAATTAGAAAGGTATGTACCTGTTATCAGGAGTTGGAATAGAGAAAGGCAATAAACTAAGCTGTGCAAGTTCCCCTGTCTTTTTCCCGTCAAATCTCACGAGACCCATGCGACAGTTTCGCCCAGCAGGATTCTGTGTGAGGAGGCTCCATTTTGTGTGGTGTCCGAAACCACCTGAAAAGGTCTTCCATAGCTCAAATTCAGTGGCACCACTCTTCGGAGGAATGCCCTTTTATGGCTATGGTTTGCTAGGGTCGAAGGGATCTAAAGAAGGTAAGCTAACGACATCACATCGCGAAAAGTCATCGTGATTTAAGGCACTTACCCAGGGGTGTAGTTTCCTTGTCAGTTGCTTCAAGACATCACATCGCTGAAAACCATCGTGAGTTAAGACACCCAGGGGTGTGGTTTCCTATTCACTAAGGGGGGTGGGCTTCAGCTCCCCCCTGGGGCTTCAATCCCCCAGACGTTGGGAAGAAAGTGGGCCAACTCTGGAGAGGAATCTATTTTTTGGCACATTTTGGGGTAGATGGGGTATTTTTCACTGTTTAGCCGCTAACCATTTCGAGAAACTACGCCTCTGCACTTCCATCACGCGAGAGGGCGGTTATTCGATCCAAAGCGGGGATCCGGCCTATGCTCCCTTTGCGGAGCTACACAGCCGATAAATAGCTTATTCCAACTGGCTGAGCGGGGTGGGCTCTTCATTCTCTCCCCCTCCCCTCCCTCCAGCTTAGCCCTCCCCGAGCATGCCTGACCAAAAGTCTTCGGTGTGCTTCGAAGCCCTGTTAAAGCCAGGGAAGTGATTTTTGTGGCTTTTTCCGCCATTGTTCATTTTACGTTTATCCCTTTCGACTTTTGCTGTTTGACCTTTTTGATTTTGACTTTTGTCGTTTAAGCTTGCATTCATTTGCTTCTTGCCAGTAACGCTGTGCTTTCCGTTTCGCTTCGCCTGTTGCCTTTTGGCTATTATCGTGTTGACTTTTATCGTTGTTGGCTTTTTTTCACTGTTTGACTTTTTGCATTTACTTTCATCCTTTTGACTTTTGCCATTTGGCTTTTTGTCCTTCTGAGTTTTTTAACTTTGCCTCTTTATTTGACATTTATATTCTATTTGACGTTTTGCCATTTGACTTTTTCCATTTCACCCTTTGAATTTTGACCTTTTGTTTTTGACTTTTTGTCCTGTAACCGCACAAAATACCTGCCTCGTGCCATCGTATCGCAAAAGTTAGCTTCTGCTCTGCACATAGCTGGAAGTCATTTGGAAACCATTTGGAAGTGCCCACACCACCTTTCACTAAAATGAGTGAAATGGTACTATCTCAACATTAAAAACTGCTTTTATGAGATCTTGCCATCCCAACTGTGCTCACCTTTTCCAAGGGGTGCGAGATCTACGATCACGTTGGGGAAGGGGCAAACTCCTCAACGCCAAAATAGGCCCCCTAAAGTTAGGTAGTGGGCCCCAGCCAGACTGGGCCTTTAACAGTCAAAAAGGGGCCCTCTACAGGTCATAATGTGTTCCCTACAAGCCAGAATGGGTTTTTATGGACCCCAATAAGCTCTTGCCAGAATGAGCCCTCCACATTCGGTAAAAGGCCTTGTTTAGGTCGGAATGCGCCCAAACAGGCCAGAATAGGGGTTTTTACAGGCCAAAAATGGCCCTCCATTGTCAATAGTGGTCTTCTTCAGGTCAGAATAAATTTTTCACCGGCAATAATTATAAGAGCCACAGTCAATAATAGGGCCCCTACGAGCCAGCACTGGCCCCTCCACAAGTCCTAATGAACCCTCGACAGCCAATAATGGACCCACTACAACTCATAACGAACCCCTACATGCCATAATGAATCTTTTGTAGGTCAAAATGGGTCCTCTAAAAGCTTCAATGAGCCCTCTATATTCTACTATGTTTAATCTCTCACTCCTGGTTACGCACTATTCATCCTGGGTGATAACCCCTCCCCTTGTTATCTTGCATTAACTGTAATGTCCTGAACTCTAAGGGGTGTCGTTTCGCAAAGTTGGTTGGGGAGGGGGAGGGGGGTGAACAATGACAAATGACTAAACGTATCTCCGAAATACGCTAACAAACGGGTGTCGCCACGGGTTGAAGACACCACGCTTAAAATGAGGTTGCCCCTTGTTAGCGTCTCGAAAAGATAACGTTGGCCCCGTAGATAACTAAAGATAACCCTTCGGCCCCCGATCAAGCTGAAGCTTCGAAATAAAACGGGCGCAGAGGCACCGCGAGATGCGTGCCTGCGCCTTTCGATTGTCGGTCCCGAGGAGCGTGGGGTCTGAGGGTCTGAGGGAGTGAAGACCGACGGTCAAAGGCCCGATAAGAAGGTCTGACTGGCCCAAAGGGTTGGCCGGAAGGGAGGAATCCCGGCCGCAAAAGGACTGGGCCCTCGGGAGGGCTGACAGCCAGAGGGCTTCTTGCGCCGAACGGAGGCCTCTCAGGACGATATGTGCCGCTGTGTCGGTCAGAGACCACCAATACCGCACAGTGGGCTTCCTGACGGTCTTGACCACGACGGGTCTATCTCCCATTCAGGGAAAAGGCCGGGGCCAACGATTTGTATCGGTTGGGATCCCTGAAAAGTAGGTGCCCAGCTTTGTCGGTCAGAGGCCCACAGTAGCTAATCGAGGGTTATGTGCCGGCAAGAGACCCCGAGTCGGTCAGGGCCCCATTTTCTGAACAGGAGCAGATCACGACGCCAAACGTCAGAGCGGCGTAATGTATTAGTCCGGGCCCCCTGACGATGACAGGAGATAGAAATAGCAACGAAAGGGTTCACAGCGACAATGGAAGGGATTTCTATCAGTCAGAGGCCAAGAACGAAACTGGGGGCTCTCTGCGCCGCTTTTTGTCGGGGGCCCAATTAGCTGAACGGGGGTTCCCGCGCCAATAATTGGACCCCTGCACCGGTAGGGAATCTTTTTGCGTCAGTGAGAAACCTCCGTCGATCTGGGACCATGTGCCCAACTCAAAGGCCCACCAGCGCCAGGGAGGGAACCGACGCACAATATGTCGCTCTCTGAGGGAATCCAGACTGATCAGGAGTGTCCCCAGAATGGCAGCCGGTAGGTACCCCGGGCTGGGATGCAAGGCCACTCCTGTTCCTGGCCGGAGATCATCATGGTTACGCATAGTTTTCTCATCATGTTGGGGTTCTTGATTTGATTTCGTTTAGTCTTGTCTGTGTTCTTGCTTAACTATTCAGCAACATCCCCTTACTGGCCACTACCATATTACGCATGGAGCGTTCTTCGTTTCGTTGTTCTCTTCAACTTGACTTTTGCTGTTCGCTGTTCGTTCGTTTTGCTGTTCGTAACTAGGAGCAAAGGCTTCCCATTTCTCCGCAATATAATTATGATCACCCGACGGGTCCTCCGCCGACACAAAACGGCATTCTCAAAGCCCAGCTTGTATAAAAGCAACAGGTGTCGTGACTGACTTATGATTTAGGTGCAGTTTCTGTTTAGCAACTTCACTGTTAGGCAACAAATAGCAGATCACTGAGTACCCCTCAGGACGATAGCAGTGAATAAACATGCTCTTAAATATAGCTACT